GGGGGGGGCAGTTATTTGGGGGCTGATTAGGCTTAGTAAGAGGTTAAATAGGAAACTTTTTTCACATTTTGGATGCAGTAAGGGGAAAGGTAGAACTGCTTCAGCTTTTTGCTATCTGCATTTCATTTGTGAGATTCTTCTTAACTTCCTGTCCTGAATACTAAACAGAAAGTGAGATATCTTTCCAGTGTGAGGAAGATAGCTTCTTAGGCATTTTTTACAGGAACAAGTGATCCCACTGGACAATTTCCCCTCAATTCCTGTTCTGGTGGCAGCTCAAGAATGTCGGATTTACACTCACTTTCATTCTTGGTGACCTTTGTATTTAGGACAATTAGAGTGAATCTTCATAACAGGGACACAGACAGCAATACAAACCTGACAGTTGTTCTTTTCCTTCACCGCTCTATTCAAATCCAAACAAAAAAAGCTTTACCTTTAGTTATACTTTTTTTTTATATACTTATAAGGTTGCTTTAACTGACATTATACTTTGACTCATTAATTTGATCTGCAGATGAATGAAACGGAGTAAATACAATATTTAATATAATAATGTTACTCTGAATCCTGAGTCTGAATAGTGTTTATAGAAATTAAGGATGAATTTTAGGCTTGCTGCTGCCATGGTTTCGAAACAAATCCCTGGGATTCAAAAAGCTCATGGATTGTGCTGAAAACGGCAAATTTGCAAACCAGAAATAGGGAGCACCCTATAATGCAGTGCGTAGACATTGCCCCTGGTCAGCTGAGTCACAAGAGCCCATAATTCTGTAAATGGGTGGCCTCATAGCAGCCATATTGTCAGTGTGCTGTGAGAGCTGACAATTCAGAGGTATTTTTTTTAATATTCTTAACTTTGGCATTGGTACATGTCTCCCATGGCAATGCCAGGCTTCCCATGCCCTTTGCTTGGCAATAACTTATTAGCCTACAAATGGGCAGGAATGAATAACAATTCCTCCTCTCCTTCCCCCATTAGACTTCAGTTGAGTTCACTGCAAAATGTTCATGAATGGAAACCAGCCAGATTCGCTCATCCATTATAAACAGTAATCAGAAAGTCAATTTTTGACCACAGTGGCTAAAGCTGGCTGCTGTATATACACAGCTGTGACTAGTAAAAGCAGCAGGGGAAGCTGAAGCAGGAGGGAAGGCACTGGGTGTGCTGCGTCCGCCTTCCCTGTTTACTTAGGTGAAGTCTTATTTGGCATACATGACGTGCCTAAGGTGGCAGAACTGTAGCTTTACTTCTATACAATATCTCAAAATTAGTCTTATGTATGTCAGACACTTAGAGTCTGATTCCACACAAATTTCTATTTTTCCGTTTGAAATTTGTGCCTGTAATGCGGTTGGGAAGATTTTGTTCTCACTTCCTGACCCGGTTGAACCTGCACAAGTGAGGGGTAGCAGCTTTCACCAAGATAGGAAGGCACAGACAGCAATAAAACATTGTCACCAGTTCTAATCTTTCCCCAGTCTACTACAAATGTGTTTTTGGTTTTATCTGTGTGCCCCTTGGAGAGATTACCCATCAGTTACTCTCCTGACAGGTGAAAGGAAATCTCATCAGTAACACAGATAAAATACAACATTTTGATTCGAGATTATTTTCAGTAAAATTAAGGTTCTATCTGATTGTAGTCTGTATATTGTACTTTCAATTTAAGAATTGTCTTTCATTACTGCTACTTCTCTTTGGCAGGCCTCCTGGACACCACTCCCACACTGACAAAATGGACGGTTACTGCATGTTTAACCAATTGGCCATTGCGGCCAAATACGCTCAGCGCAATCACGGGGTAAAGCGGTGAGTTTCAGTGTGATATGGAAGCATGATAATTGTACTATAGCAGCTAAATTCCCTCTTTTCTTCCCTTAGGATACTGATCGTAGACTGGGACATCCATCACGGTCAGGGAACACAGTTCATATTTGAACACGATCCCAGGTGTGTAACCCTACTAGTAGGAAGATCTGTCATAGTCTTTTCCTAGGTGTTTTCGTCAACGTAACCTGTGCTTAGAGAAATATAAAGACTCCTTACTTTGGTCTGAAAATGCTAGTTTCTTGGCTGTCTTTGACCTTAATACGTTTCATTTATTGTTAAAACATTATCAGAATGGGAGTTTCTGCACTGTGAGCCACTTATGCTATAGGGCATTGCACATGACACATACAGATACAAAGATACACTTGTTTGTTAAAAGAGAACTATGGGGTAATCTTTTTTTCATCATAGTTCTCTTTAGGGTCTCGGGAGGGCATATACTAATGCTTTTCCGTGACCCAAAACTCTGTATATAGAGGGGTAATGCTCGCTATGTGCTGAGAGCACCACAACTTGGATGGATCCCAACAATACTGTCGAGATCCACCCCGCTGGCTGATTGAAAGTGGGTTCTGCCTATCTAGAGGCAGATCCAGCTATGCCCGCCCCCTCCGCCATCCGTCCTTCCAGTCAGCACTGGAGGATTGGAGAGGGGGAATGCTTGCGGGACAGTCACCGCTCTCTGCAGGGTGGTGATCGGCAAGTGAGCGAGCGGTGGTATGTGTCCGCTCACTGCCCGATCAATTGAGCCGATGTGTGACAGTTCCAATGTCACAAGTGAGCTCTAACTATGGGGATGAACGCAATTCACTCACCCCATAGTTCTCCTTCAATCATTTAACCAGAAACCGTGTTGTATGTACATACCTGTATGGTTCCTAGAAGGCATGCAAGCATCCAAGTCATGAATCTCCAATATCATTTGTATATAATTGGTCTAAAGAGATTTTTTTGAGTGTATGCTTAGTCTTTTTTAGTTTTGGCTGCAGTTCGGAAAAGTTGGAATCCATCCTTTTTTTTTTTTTTTTTTTATGGGTCCCATTGGGGAGATTTCCCTTTTTTTCCTGTCCTTGAGACACAAGAGGAAGTGGACATTCTAATGTGAGTGTTGTCTCTGAAACAGGTGTCGCCAGTGAAAGATTTTCTTTAACCTCCTGTTGTGGTGACATCTGTTAAATGTTAGATTTCCCATCAGTCTCTGTTCTGATGACAATGGTCACCATGACCGCTAGAGAGGTTGAAACTTGGAGACATCCTGATGCATTATTCTCTACTACATCCAAACGTTAAAAAAGAATGTTTTGGCTAGAGATACACCTTATCTGGTGTTCCGCTTTAACGCTGGATAAAGGTCTGTTTCTTTTTCTTTCTTGATGCTCTGCTGTTTTAGATTGCTCCTAAATTTCCCTTCTTGTTTCTTTGCAGTGTGTTGTATTTTTCCATTCACCGCTACGAAAATGGAGAATTCTGGCCCCATCTTGTGGAGTCTTCCAGCAGCGCAGTGGGGAAGGATCGTGGGGAGCGATATAATATCAACGTGCCCTGGAATAAGGTGTGATTGATGTTGGGATTCCTGCCTTAGAATCTGCTGTCTCTACCTTCATCGTCTTACTATAGTTCTGGTTTATAATATCAATGTAAAGTGTCTATAAGAGCCTTCTGTTTCTCTTACAGATTGCAATGACAGATGCTGATTATATCACAGCATTTCTTCACCTCCTCCTCCCGATCTCTTATGAGGTAATAACTATGCCACCATCTCTGGCAAATATCGAGCATTGGATGTGTGCTTCATGTTTTCATTCCTTTATATAATTCAAAAACACTTAAAAAATAGTAAAAGTCTAGAAAGATCCATTATATTCAGTTCTTATCTGCTTTTATTTGGTGGGACATGTCCCATGCATTTAGGTCACTTCCTCCTTCCTGAGTGGTAAATAGGGGTCTGCTAAAAAAAACTTAAATTAAAATTATAGTGCAGAATTGCTTGTGTAACGATTATAATTTTTAATTTTTTTAAACACTTTATTGTTTTCCATTAAACACTGCTTGCAGATTCATATGGTTTTTTTATTCTGTATTCAATCATTTTTCTAATTGCTTGGACACAGCACAAAATTGTAAAAGACTGTTTGAAAATGATCTTACATTTTTGTTATCTGTTTCCCATTGACTGTGGTGTATTTGGCCGAAACCAGTAAGCTCAAAACTGTAGCATGTTTAAAGTTATACTGAACTCAGGAGTTAAATCTAAAAAATGCATTCAAGTACCTTAACTAGTAACACAAATGTACCATATGTGCATCACTCAGCTGTAGATCCTCCTAATCATCTCTGAATTCATACTGACACTGTCAGAGGGTGGCTACTTTTGTTCCCCATGGTCCCTGTGTGTGTTGTAAAGTAGCCATCGCTCCAAGCTCACTCCCGTGATGGACTACAATCACAATACAAATTAGTAAACTAATCATGAGATTGCAGTCCATCGCGGGAGTGAGTTCAGAGCGATGGCTACTTTACAACACACACAGCTAAATGATGCACAAGTAAGGTATACAGCATTGTTAATAGTTAAGGCACTTGAATGCATTTTTTTTTTTTTTAAACAATTTATTGGGTTTTTCAGGAAATACAGCAATTTCCAAAACATAAATTCCAAAACATACAAATAACAACATAAACAATATGTTATGTAAGAAAGTCGGATACTCATGTCACATTTACACAAAGACAAAGATAAACAGAGAATACAGAATAAGTGCAGCCTATAAAATTTTACAATGTCTGGAAGAAAGCAATAGCCTTTTGCTCCCTGAGCGGGTCACATTCTACTATCCCATCTCCGTGTGTGAGGCACAACTCTAGGATTATCTGCCCTAGCCTGGGTCATAATCATCAGGGATCTCCAGCCGCCCCAAGGTTTTATCTAATTTCCTTTCTAGGTACCACTGCGTAAGTTTGAATGGATAAATTAGAGCGTGTAACTCCAATTCTGTGTAATTGTGTAGTATGAAGGATTCCCATTTCTTGACAAAAGTGATGGAATATTTATCAGGGTCAAGAGTGGCTTCAAGCCTTTCTTTCCACATCAGTGACGTCAGTGCTGCCACAAATTGTTGGGATGAAGGTGGCTGCGTGGATAGCCATTGATGCATTATTATTCGCTTCGCCAGCAGTAAGGCCACAAATATCAATTGCTGTTTCTGTCTACTTGGGGTAGGTTCTGGCTTCCAATAACTGAAGAGACATAGCCAGGGCTCTCGCGTCAGGGAGACATCTAACATGTCTGACAAATAAGATAGGATGGAGTCCCAGAAGTTAACAATATGGGGGCAATCCCATAGGCAATGTCGGAGGGAGGCCCCCTCCAGGGTACATTTTGGACATGCTCTTAAGTACGGGCTCGGAGCTTTAATTTTAAAAAAGAAATCGAAGGCATAATAGGCTTTATGAACAATTCGGAAGTGAGTCTCCCTCCACTGTTCATTCGGCGTACAGCGCCTTATATTCTGGCATCCCTCCAACATAGCATTCTCAAACTCTTCCATCGGGAAATCTTTTCTCCATTTAATGAGGGAAGTTCTGGCCGGTCTAGGGATAAAGTAGGAATTTAGTAGGGGGTATAATTTAGAAATTGATCCAGGGGCTGTAGATGAGGCCTTATCTAATTCCGTAATTTGAAAAAAAGTGCTGGGTACTGTTGTTGAATACATTTTTAAGATTTAACTCCTGAGTGAAGTGTCACTTTAAGATCAAAACTTCAGCATGTTGCGTTAATAAAAGACAGAGGAAATAAAATGTATTGCAAGCTGTTGTTGATGTGTTTTTAGGACATAGGCAACTCTCCTCCTCATACTCGTCTAGGTGGTGTCATGATCTCTTGCATGCTTATTACAGATGTCCCGCGTTCTCCCATGCCTGCGTAAAACTCCCCCTCTCGGCCCAATCAGCCGTGGGCAGTGCATTCCCTACCCAAATCTGCAGCTGAATGTGCCAGGAGGGGGATGTGTCACTGACAGTTCTGCGTGGGCTTGGGAGAACTCAGTGCACACCAAGCCCACACACATTCCTAATTAAAGCTGTGTGGCCACTCTGCCTCATAATCCTAGCTGAACCTGCCTGCTAAAGCTCTAAAACTCTGTTGCTGGATGGACTTTTCATCAGTAGCTGGATTGTTACATCTATGATACCGTGGTTGGGAACTTCTCTCTGTTATCCTGTTGCACCAGTAAACCCCCCTACTGGATTCTCCAGATAAATATATTTCTAATTTAGCGTGCCCAGGGTGATAATGCAGCTGTGTCAGAAAAGCAGTGTTGAGCCTGGGTCTTGGGGAGGGCAGCGAGGTGTCTTCCAAAGGGTTTTGACGAGGTAGCCAGTTGTTGTCATTGTTGGCATAATAATAAGTATGAATGAAATTATCTTTAAAGTATTTTTTTCTACTTATTTCTCATTCCAGTTTCAGCCACATCTTGTATTAGTAGCAGCTGGATTTGACTCTGTGGTGGGAGACCCAAAGGTAATGTGAACTTGACCTTGTCCGTGTGCCAGGCAAGATGTTATGGGATAAGCTTACATGTAGGCATGAAAATGTATCTCTGCAGATAAAAAAGCATCATGGATAATACTCAGCTGTGTTGTTGTAAGTGTACTAATGGGGCTACAATCACCTCTACTTTGGTCACAAATATGAGTTGTGTTTTGTTATCAGCCAAAGATATTTGTCCTTATTTTTGCATGTTGTTAAAGGCATCGCAGCATTTACATCCTGCTTTAGTGATAGTGTCAGCCCTGACTTCTGCTGGTCATGCAATGTACATTATCATCATTGCTTCCTTACTGGCAAAGAAAGTAAGAAGAATGTGGAATTATCCAATGTGATAACGACATCTTATTTCCTCCATCATGTCTATTTACATAGGGAGAGATGGCTGCCACTCCAGCATGCTTTGCTCACCTGACACACCTGCTCATGTCCTTGGCTGAAGGAAGACTTATTTTGTCCCTTGAGGTGAGCCAAAATATCTGAAATGAAACTGGTGTTTTTTGTTTTTGTGTTTTGTTTTTTTTTTACAAAATTTGTAGTATGTCAGTGGGTAGTTTTACAGAGTGCTAGTGAATGGCCAACAGTGGGGCCAGAGCCATTTTAAAAGGTGTCAATGTGCTGTGCATTGGCATGTCAGCTTGTAGTCACCAAATGGCAGGAAGCGGCTGGGGAACCCTATTGCAGGCAGGATCAACAGGTGCAACTAAAGGGAAACCCACCCAGAAAAAAAATTACATTGCACATCATGTATTCAGTAGAACTTAATTTTTGCTATTTAGGTTTGGCTTTCAATTGCCACCGCCAACTTCCACCAAAGTGATGTCAACTGTCTTGCTTTCTCTCAAATATGGGTTCAGTGCACAAAATGGTTGGTTTGAACTGTCAGAGAAATTCCATTTCTGGTGTCACAAAGAATTCTGAAATAACCAAATAATCAGATTTTTCCAGACCAGTTTTTTATTGCAGATGCTTGAGTCCCTAGATATGCAAGTTGACTTGTGTTAGGTTGTGATGATCTGGACAAGATCCTGAGCAATGGATGACTTTTTTTTCCCCATCTTGGCAGGGAGGGTATAACTTGCGCTCTATGTCGGAAGGGGTCTGCGCTTCCCTAAAGATTCTCCTCGGAGACCCTTGTCCAAGTTTGTCTCAGCCCTTTGCCCCCTGTGATAGGTAAGATTTTATTTTTATTTTTTAAGCTCCTCTTAAATCTTTGTTTTCTAGCTTCATATAGAATATGAAATTGTTTAAACCTGGCTTTTTCTGCTGCCTTTGTACATGCTGGGGAGATTTACCCCCTCTCTGTGTGTCTTTGTGACTGTCAATGGAATTTGACAGGAATTTGACATTGTGATTGTCAATGGAATAGGAATAAAAGGCATAACTTTCAGTGGGGACAATTTTTCTCGGGACTATGGTCAAAAGTAGGATTTTCTTTTATTTTGGAGAGCTTTCCACTTCCAGTTGTGTCTTTGGGCACAAGAGGTGAAGGGAAATCTTACTGATAGGGCTATAATCATCAATAAAAAACTGAGCAGGTTTCCAACCCTTCCCCACTGTATCCAAAACTAATAAAAATAATGTTTAAGCTGGGATACACCTTACCTGTATACACTATCATAATGAGCTATGGTATATAATAGTGCTATATAAATAAAAAATAATAAGCTATAATATGTTAGCACTAAATGTTTAGCTTTGTAGACCTGTGGTGTTGTTTTTTGTGGGTAATGTGTCACCATATTTGCTCTCTGCAGTGCCCTGGAATCCATCTCTGGTGCCTTCTGTGTCCATAGGAAATATTGGCGGAGCCTGCAGGAACAAGGTACATGTCTATTCTAGACCGCTAAAATCAAAAAAATGTAAAATATCACTAATTGCCGTTATCAGTTCACCTCCTTCCTTGGAATCGGAGAGATGAGGATAGATGCTAATTATTTTTCTTCTTTTATGCCTGTGCCAACTTTTCCACTTCATTATTCATTATTGCAGTACAGCTTTCCCATAGCAAGGCATTTAGAGCCAAATTTATTTGAGGCAGATTTTCCCTCCCAATAAAACCACGGTGAGAATTGTAGTCATTTCTATAAAATGTGTTTTTGTGCATAAGCAGAGGTTAGCAATAATGAAAAGCCAGTGTCAAATTTGTTAAACGATCCATAGATATAGGCAGTTGGAATTGTATGCACATCTTGACTTTCCCTTTAAAAGCCAAGCTTGGCCCTTTTACTTTCCTTCCTACTGAGCATCCCCATTGGCCTGTCACATAAGGTACTTATGAGGAGGGGGTGTGGCTAAAAACCTTTATAAAGTTAAGATTTGCATAAAAAGTTTAGCAAAAGGAAGCTCTGGATTTAAAGTATTGTTCCACTGACATGAACATACAATGCTTCTAAGGCTTTAACCCTTTGTTAGGACAGACAGTGTTCAAATCTAGTTTACAACTGATAATTTCTGCCAACACAGTACAGACAGGGTAATTACAGTAACATCACTTCCCATGGACTCCTCCTTAACATTACATAAGAGGGAAAGCTAGGTAAAATTTTAAGCCAGCAAAAAGCACTTAAAAATGTAAGTAGCATTTTAAAGATTTTTTTAAGTTATCCAATGTGAAACATATAACAAATAACTACATACAAAAGATGTTCTCCCCATTTGGCTTCAAAAGGGAAACTACACTTTAAGGGTTGTTCTAACATGCAGTTTTGGCTGAAGACAATTGCTTTTTACATATTTTATTATCATATACCTATTTAAATTGCTCAGGACCAGTTTGCTTTAAAATACTTTTGTCTATACTCTAAGGCTGCTAATTTGGTTCCAGCACTGCGATAGAGGAGCACCATGTTTTACCATAGGGCTGCTGTAATCTGAAATGTTCTACACTTATTCGTAGTGTCAGTCTCTGGCCTTGCCCCCACTAGCATGTTCCTATTGGCCGATAATGCCACCCATCCTAATGATAGGCCAGTAACCACTTAGGGGAGGCAGTGGGGACAATGAATGACACTACAGAGAAGTGTAAAAAGTTTGCAGTCTACAGCAGTCAGGAAGTCATACAAGTTACTGGTGTACAGAAAAGAGCAAGTAAATGTATGTGTAAGCTTGGTGGTTGCATTGTAGACCTGAAAACTAATACTGACAGAGGTACATTATGGGGATGCACTGATACTCGCCAAAATGCTGCGATACTTATCTTTGATACCAGAACTTGAGGTCAGAGGGAGATCTCTCACTGTCTGGCAGTGCCGAGGGAGCATGTAGCCGGCTTCCTTTCCAATCAGGTTATGACCAGCATTCCGGCTTCCTGATTGGCTAGGAAGCTGGCTTTACATTTTGCTAGACAGCCTGGCCTCCTCACCAATCAGAAAGCCAGGCTGCCTAGCAACAAGTGAAGCCGTCTTCCTAGCCAATCAGGGAGGCGGGTCATGATGTGCCGCCTTGATTCCTGATTGGTTAGAATGCTGGTTTCACTTGTTGCTAGGCAGCTTAGTTTCCTGACCAATCAGGAAGCCAGACGGCACCTCATGTCTCGCCGCCCAGCTTCTTGATTGGTCAGGTAGCCAGGCAGCCTCGGCAAGTGAAGCCGGTGTTCTTTCGATAGAACACCGGCTTCCCAGGCGATCATGAAGCCGAGCGGCGGCTCATGATCTGCCGCCCAGCTTCCTGATAATCGGGGCACACGGCACCGATATCAGTACTCGATATTGGTGGGTACCGGAAAAAAAATATAGGTACTCATACTAGATACTGAAAAACCGGTATTGGCCCATCCCTAGTACAAGCCAGGCGCATGTCCTCAGCGTGGGCGCGGCGTCGCGTGACACCAGCGTAGGCGCGAGCGCTTAACTGACGTGGGCATGGCGTAAGCTGCGGGCGTAAGCAGCGTGCGTGAGCGGGAAATTTGAATTTTAGCCGACGAATCGACGATGGAAAACGTTGACAACGTTTTCCATCGTCAATTTTAATCGACTTAATCGAATAATTGTTGCAGCTCTACATAATTTTTTTTATCCCTTAGATTTCACCTTAAAGCAGGAAAGAAAAGCAAAGGAAACCAGTCAGGCTTCACTGGCAGACACATCTGAAGATACTCTAACAGATGTGCTGGATGCAACGATGAAGGAAGTGATGAGGAAGATGCCGGATCAGCGCACTGGCCTGGTGTATGATGAGCGCATGATGGAACATTACAACATGTGGGACAGGTGAGGAGAAAGATGCAATATAAAGATAACTGTTGTACTTATTAATTAAGGAAGAACACAGTCTGCATAGCAATTCTAGTGATCTGACATTAGAAAACTGAAATCGGGTTTATTAAATTGACACTCAACTCAGGAGTTACATTTTAAAAATGCGTTCAAGTACCTTAACTATTAACATAAATGTATCTTATGTGTGTATCACTCGGCTGTAGATCCTCAAATCATCTCTGAATTGGTGCTGACACTGTCCTTCCTTCTGGAGGGGGGTTACTTTTGTTCCCCATGGCCCCTGTGTGTTGTAAAGTAGTCACCGCTCCAAGCTCACTCCCGGGATAGACTACAATCTCAGGTTTAGTTTACTAATTTGTACTGATATTTTAGTCCATCATGGGAGCCAGCTTGGAGCAGTGACTACTTTACAACACACACAGGGACCATGGGGAACAAAAGTAGCCACCCTTCAGAAGGAAGGACAATGTCAGCATGATTTCAGAGATGATGTGAGAATCTACAGCCCAGTGATACACAAATAAGATACATTTTTAATAATAGTTAGGGTACATGAATGCATTTTTAAGATCTAACTCCTGAGTATAGTGTCACTTTAAATAAGCCCACAATTTATAGAGCCTAGTTTAATTTAAAGGGCATCTCCAGGTGAACCCCCAAACTCACAGGTGAAACACGCACACCTAACAAAAGAGGAATGAAAATACAATGCTGTAGCCAGCAGTGCTAGATAGTATACAAGGTTGACAGGTTCAGTTACCCCTGCTGACTGCATGGTATATTGTAAACCTGCCTGTAGATGTTGCTGTATGTCAAATATTGTCAGTATTTACCTCTGTGGTGATCATTTTTCTTTCTCAGTGGCCACCCTGAGGTTCCACAAAGAATTGCCCGCATATACCTACGTCATAAGGAGATGGGGCTGTTAGATCGCTGCGTTCGCCTCTCCCAATGTGCTGCAACCAAAGAACAGCTACAAATGTGCCACAGGTGTGTAAATAAAGCAGAAGCAAATACATTTAGCCTAGGACTTCTTTTGCTGTGTTAAACAAGTGTGGAGATTAATGGAGTCATGTGTAGGGTGATATTAGTTAAAGAACAAAAATGTAATATATTACAGCTTTCCAGTCTTTAAATATGGTGTCTGCATACGTTTTCTTTTTTTCCTTTATTGTCACCACCTTGTAATCTTGCCAGTAACACTTTTCCTGTCCTAGGGTGACATCGCTCACTGTACAATATCTATGCAGGAGCTGCCTTGTCACTCGAAGATAGAAAGTATGTTAGGACTGCAGAACACCTCCCTCTCTTCTCATCTCCATAACACGGGGAGGAGTGAACTAGGCAGGGCTGATAATAGTACTTGCAATAACACTGAGAGTGCATAGGACACAGGACAGCACCTGATTTCTGGCAGAGCCAACAGATATACCTTTTTACTGATCCAACAGATATAATTAAATATTTTTTGTAACAAAGTGTTTATTGGTTTTATCATAAAATAAACAGGATATTTTACATAGAATTTGGTGACAAATATCGTTCAGATAATGTGAGTTAGGCAATAAGGCATAACTTGGTCACAGGCACCATGCAATTATCCTATGGTATAGAAAAAGAAAAGAGAATAAAGCAGAGTAGAAGATAGAAAGGGGAAATAATTAAATATTTTTAATATATTTAACAGACTGAAAGGCAGTATAAGAAGTTCATTGTTACAGTTTACTTGATCATGAATAAAATGAATCAAGATAAATAGAAGACAGTCTGGAGGCAAATGGGAGAAACTAAAGGTGGCAACATTTCCGCCACTGATTTAGTGACCCAAGAACAGGATTTGTCGCGAACACTCCAAAAATATTGCAGAAAAGTCCCCTTTTATTGCAGCATGGAGAATCAAACCAAAGTGGAATGTTTCTGGGCCACCCAGGAACCCTTCATCAAGGCACTGGTTCCCCAAAGTTTTTTGAAAATAGTCAATAAAGGTTGAACTCGATGGACCTGTGTCTTTATTCAACCTCAAATACTATATAACTATGTAACTCCAGCAGAAAATCTGTCCAAATTACAACAAAAAAGCTTTAGATGGATGAACACTTTAAACATGTCATACTTGCTGTGTATTAAAAACAGGTCTCCGTTGTTTCACATTTTACAGTCGGCCGTCGAAACATATCGGCCGCCGAAACATATCGGCAGAAAATTGCACTTTTGGCATAATGCCGAAAGTGCAATTTTCCTGCCGATACATCGGCGCATCCCTACTTTCTTTCCTCCCCGCTGGGCGCTGCTCTGTGTCCCAGTGGGGAGGAGAGAAACTGTCATAGCCGGCCGAGCGCTGCAGAAGGAGAGCGCTGTGAGCGATCGGGTCTCCTCCCACACCGCTCAACATCCTATCACAGCAGTGTGTGGACGGAGACAGGCCGCGCTGTCACAGGAGGCTGAGCTCTCCTCCCAACACCGCTCGATCAGCTTCCCGTGACAGCGTGTCAGAGAGGAGAGCAAGGTACAAACACTCAGCGATCAGCAATTAACATTTTCGGTTTCGGCCTGACAGTTTTTTTTATTTCGGTTTCGTTTCGGTTTTAAAATTTCCATTTCGGTGCACCTCTAGATTTATGCGCATAAAAAAGCACGAAAACATGCTTAAAAAATGCTCAACAACGCTGTGAACCGTGGTGAGCTACAGACAAGGTCTGCTGCACATCTATATATTAATATGATTGCTTTTTACAGTCTTCCCTACATTGATAAGATAGAAGGGTGTTCCCGACTGAAACCCAGGGACCTGCATAGAATGGGAGATGAGTATAACTCCATCTACATCAACAACAAGTCTTACAGCAGTGCCTGTCTGGCTGCCGGCTCGACATTCAGTGTTGTGGAAGCTGTCCTTACAGGGAAGGTAAGATGCAAACACGTATACATGAAGGGCTTGACGTAGGTCCTTTTGTAGAAATTGGCCAAAAATCATTTTTGATATTTAGGTCAAATTTTCATTGCTGCCTGGATTTTGTGACCACTTTTTTCATAAAGAATTTTGCAGATTCTTCTTGTATTGTATGTATAGCAGGGAGTATGATTAGCATATTTCTAAGAGCTTTCAAGCTATATGCATAATTTTCAGATACAAGGAGCACCACCTGTGCAGGCACTGTGATGTATAACTAAGCATGCAGCACAGCTCACCTATGTAATATGCAAATTATATCTGCACCATGTTCATATATAATTACATAAAACAAGAGTTATAAAACACATTCCTAGAATTATTAGATCACATCAATCCAATCTGTACATACAATTAAAGCATATAGATTTGAAAGCTGAAAGCCAGGCATTTTTTAAAGCCCAATTGAAGTCTCACACCTTATAGTCCTGGAGCCCTGCGTTTGTATGATTTGTGACTGATGTTTTACTTGGAAATTCCTTAAACAGTTTTGCTTCCTACGGAGAGTAGCTCCCTTCTCAGCGGGGAGCTGAGAAGGGAACTACTCTCTGTCCGTATCTCTCAGTGTTGCTGCTGCATTGTCACCCTATCACACGGGCTTCCGATGAGGTCTACAACTGTCTGTTTCATCACACATTACGTAGACATTGCTGTCACCATCAGGAAACCATCCCTGAGAAATGCCATGCAGCCAAAGCTGGAGTGCATGTTGACAGAAAGAGGTTGCATGATGTCAGCAGCAGTGAGATGGAACAAGGATGAAGAAAGTTGAAACAAATGCTTTAGTAAACAGTCATACAGTTATGGTTTGCATCTACTTAAACACTTTCATTCTTCATTTAATGTCTTCTTTACATCCAGGTTCAAAATGGAGTCTGTATCGTTCGCCCACCAGGTCACCATGCAGAGCCAGGTTCAGCTTGTGGTTTCTGCTTCTTCAACAATGCCGCCCTTGCTGCACGATATGCCCAGAGCCTGCAGAACCCGTCTGAACCTCAATTAAGGTACAGTGGAATGCAATAGCCTGCTTGGCAGTTATCCTTGTGTGTCTTGTGCTTCACATTGTTTATCTCGCTTTACAGGGTAATGATTCTAGACTGGGACATCCACCACGGCAACGGAACACAGCACATTTTCCAGGAGGATGATAGGTTAATATGCCAAGGCTATTATAGTTTTTCTTCATAAAATGGATGTAAATGTGTCTGTTCTTGTGCATTTGACCTCCTATGTCTCTTACTAGTGTGCTGTATGTGTCCATCCATCGATATGATGATGGCCTCTTCTTCCCATCTTCTGAGGATGCTGCACATGACAAGGTTGGCGTCGGTCTTGGAGAAGGGTTCAATGTGAACATCCCGTGGAATGGTAGCAAGATGGGTGATTCAGAGTACTTGCTGGCCTTTCATAGGATTGTCATGCCTATTGCTTATGAGGTAAGATTAATAAATGGGTGGCAAAAGACAGGGAAGTTTAAGGAGGCCAGAGATGGCACAAAAGCTGGAGCAAGGTGGGGGAGTATGGGACAGTCAGAAAGGCAACATTAATGCAAGCTGTATGCAAATATAAGAAATGGGAGGATAACTTTTAGAGATGAAATGAAGTTGTGTATTAGATATCCAGGAAAATGGTCATAAGAAAATGGTTGTGATGTACACTGACAAAACTGCCATGCTCAGCTCCCTCTCCTTCTGTAGTTTAATCCGCAGCTGGTTTTGATATCTGCTGGTTTTGACGCTGCTCGTGGAGACCCACTTGGAGGCTGCCGTGTTTCTCCGGAAGGCTACGCCCACATGACACACCTTCTGATGGGTCTGGCAGGTGGCAAGGTGGTGGTCATTTTGGAGGCAAGTTTTTTTATTTCTTACCTCTAGGTTTTGCCATACTGGTGTTTTTATATGTATTTATAGTCACTATTAAAGTCAAAGTTTTGAAACTACCATAACTACCAATCATTATCAGCTGTTGTCTATGATTTTTTGACTCATATGGACTTCTCTAACAGTGACGATTGTCTGCAGACTGCACGGTCTATATTTAAATCATTCCTTTTTCTCCCATATTAGGGTGGCTATAATCTGACCTCCATTTCAGAATCCATGTCAATGTGTACTCGTACACTTCTTGGAGATCCCCCTCCTCGCTTGTCTGACTTGCATCCTCCCCGTCCTTCAGCACTGCGTACAATCTCAAATGTCCTAAGTGTCCATAACAAATACTGGTGCAGCCTCAGGTTAAAAGGTGAGAAAAAAAAACATTAAGTGCATGGATGACCCTCTTCTGAAGTGATAGGCTCAAAAACTGTAGAACCAGCACACGATGTTCTTCCAAAGAAAATCAAACTTTATCCCACATGCATCTATACAAAAAACAACCAGCTGGAAGAACATTGTGTGCTGGTTCTACAGTTTTTAAAAGGTGAGAAAATGGTTTGGAAAATGCTTTCATTAGTAGCAGTTTCTTATATTTTTTTTAACTGTTTCTTTTTATTATCTTAAAACAGCTGTACATAGGTACACGAGTATAAAAAAGCAACAGTTAGTATGTGAAATCAACTGAAACATATATGTAGCATGTAAAAAAAAAAGAAAGAAAAACAATGACCGTATCACCAGTATCACAGTATCTTCATTATTGCATACATGTGTTGTATGACATAATACAGAGATCAACATTCACTATGGTAGTTGTGGCATTTGGACCAGAGTAGGTAATTTCCAGCTTCGGGTAAGAGCAAAGTTACATCAAAAAGTCGCACATTTTTTGGAATTAAATGGGACAGTTTCTCTTCCCATACACATTTTTTTCATATGAGATGATGTGATTAATAATTTCCAGATATGTTGAGAAAATATGGTTTTATCCCTTTAATGGCAATGGCTTTACATGTCATAAACAGTGTTTCTCTCAAAAATATTCTAGTGTAGTGTGGCCAGCGCTCTTCGGCCTCGTTCATACCAGATGCAGTGTGTTCCGGCCTGATTCTGGCCAGAACGCACTGCATCGCAGTGTGGGACAGGAAGGGGCGTGGCCATTGAAGTGAATGGCCCTCTGACCGCAATGCGATCGGCCGCACGGGTTTGCAAGGCACATTATGCTTGCGGTCTGGTCCAGTGCAGTGCAATCAAAATAGTCCTTGCAGCATTTTGATCGGACCGCAGGCATAATGTGCCTTGCGATCCCGTGCGGCTGATCGCATTGCGGCCGGAGGGCGTGGCTACGGTGCCATTCATTTCAATGACCCGTCACGCACCCTCCTGCCACACAAAAAAGTGAGCTGCGATGCTGTGCGTTCTGGCCAGAATCAGGCCGGAACCCACTGCATCTGGTGTGAACGAGGCCTTCATCTAGTATACCCAAAAGACAGACTTCAGGTGTGCAGGAAAGAGGGTGTTGCAGTAGATTTGTAAGAAGGGTGACTACCTACTTCCAGAACTGAAACTGAGGTGAGATACATAAAATTTGCCTGTGGTTGAGTACATTGTATGCAACCAAAGTTGGCCTTTTGTCCAATTGTATGCAATTGATCAAGGGATGAGTAGGTTTGATTATTAATATTGTAGCAGGTCATCATGTAGAGAGCAAGGAGAGGTCCTGTCCGGGGATTATGTGTCACCCAGATTCCTCTCTTACACCTTCCGGAACCTATAGTAAGCCCCAGGTTTTACACTTTGCCTCAGTGGCAATTTAGTGCAGGTGAGGCAAACAGACAGAGCTCTGGAGCCAGGGGATCAGACAGTTTCTATCTGCTGGAGCACAAGGTTTGTGATGGTGTTTTGCTGAAGCCTGACAAACAATAGGTTTGTACAGCTTGGTAGTCAGGACTATACTATGTTTAGTTAGTGCCGGCACATGGCTAGGATTTTGTTTTTTAAGTATTAACTTTATTTGAGCACTGTACAGCACGATATATAGCCTGTGTGCTGCACCAATAAATGTACCACTGTTTGAAGACAAGTCACTGGTCTGGTCTCTAAACCTTGCAAGATTGCTCACCCCAGGGAGCAATTGCACCCGCTACCTATTCCCCAGCTCACAATATATAACTGAGTCAGCCTGTTGTTAACTGCAAGTGATAATAATATATATGGGAGAAGCAGATGTCATTCCAGTCCTCTATAGACATAATTGGCAAAAGGATTTGCTATTTAGACTTAACACTAACTGGGGTTTTACCTAGCTTAGGTTAAGGATGGGTTTGTTATGGTCACTAAATTGTGTCTCCAGACCATGGCAGAGCCAGTTACTTATAATTATAATTTCTCTTAACAGTTGAGCTCCCTCCACCCTCTGAGATATCAAAGGAGGCACATTGGACTCCACAGAACGTGCAGTCATCCCCGCAACTGACAACCATCTCCCCTGGAAGGAATATTGAAACACAGTGTCCCCAGGAATTAGATTTGACTGGTTCCAAAGCTGATGATGATAGTCTGAACCCCAGCCCTGAAATTGTGGAGGTGAAAAGTCCACCGTCAGTAGCCTTTAGTAACGGCTCAATTGATAGTGTCTCCAGCATCGACAGTTGTTCTGTATCATTCTCTGTAGAAAACAATATGGAAACACCATCATCAGAGAAAAGTCAGATCATGTACCGTGTCGGGGAGTCTTCACCTCAAAAATCAGACAGTGTTAAAATGGCTAAACATGAACTGAAAGAGACCTTGGTTGATAAGGATGATGTCTTTAATCCCCTCTTGCCTAACTTAGCTGAAGTAGAGAAGAAGGAAGAGTTGGTGGTAGAGATGGAGGCTGTTGGACCACACTCAGTGCACAGGGATTCTAATGATGGAGAGTCGCTGGTAACAGTAATGGAAGTCCAGGTTTCAAACCGAACACCAGACATTCTGATGTCTGCCAGGACAGAGAGCTCTGTGGAAGAACTTGTAAGTGACTTGAAGCTGGAAGATAGCAAAGACCCATCAACCTTCAGCATTAGAGAGGGTGACAGTGAACCCGTTGCTGGGGCTAGAAAGACGATTGTTCCCTTCCTGCAGCAAGTGGCTGATGGTGCAGAAGCAGCTTCTGTGAGTGTTAGAACTTAACACAGCTGTTGTGTATTCATGTTTGGGCGCTGCATGTCTCATTTGTCATTCTTTCATTCAGTTTCTTTCTTAACCTTTTTCTTTCTCTCCTTTTACACATCTTTCTCCTCACTGACTCTTCTCTCTCACTCCTCTGCTCTCTCACACCACCTCTCTTACTCGGATTCTCTTACTCGGATTCCCCTCTCACTTCTCTCTCTGTCTCTGTCTCTGTCTCTGTCTGTCTGTCTGTCTCTCTCTCTCTCTGTCTATCGCTCACCTCTTTTTGTCTCCGCACAGTCTCCAGATACTCACTTGGAGGAGAATTTACTCTCAGAAGCTGCCAGTGGCTGCCCAGCCTCATGTTACCAGATAGATGTGGAGCCATCACTGGAATTCTCTGTGAGTGCTGTCACTCTTATTGTCCCCTAAAAAACATATCTCTGTTCTCAAAAACCAAACCAAATTATGCCAATGTATAAATGATTGCAACTTATCTGGTCAATTTCTGGACTCTGTTACCCTTAAACAGGGGTGCCCGCAATTTTTTTTTTTTTGTGTTAAGATCTACTTTTGAAATGACGAGCTACATGAGATCTACCAACGAAAAAAAAAACCCATCACTCTCTCTCCTTGCTCGCTCTCCTGGCTGTCTTTCCTCGCTCTCTCTCTCCTGTCTGTCTCTCCTTGCTCTCTCCTGGCTCACCTTGCTGTATTTTGCAAACAGTGTAGTGCAACAGGCTGTGTAAACGAATATTCTTTGATGTAATACATAGCACTTCAACCACCTGTATCCACCAGAAAGGTGTCAGGGAGCTTGGCTCAGCAGACTCAGGCTAAGAGGTAATCATGTGTGCACAGCTAAATAAATATACCAAAATGGAATAAAGGGGCCGCCATTCACACCCTTCGTGATCTACCAGCATCAGCTTTGAGAGCTACTTGAAGATCACGATCTACCTAATGGGCACCCCTGCCCTAAAAGTTCAAAGGCTGGTCCCTTGGTTTTGGCAGTCGTTCACTGAGCTTCAGGCCTACCAGGCTGATGATCTCATGACATGTAGGGTTTCTGTACTCTTCAAATTCACACAACAACTGGAAAAGGGTGTTATGTAATCTATGATTGACAGTGTACAGATCACACCTCCAACACAGCATAAGTTATAAGTAAATGAAGTTAGGGGCAGAAAGTTCACTGCACACAGATGACAATACATTGGATCACCAGTTCAACTCCCTAAAGTGTGAAAAATCTGCTCTGATAATGAAGCTACTAAAATGTGGAATATAACATGGGTGCAAAAAATGAGAAAAATGCCTCAGTCATGAAGGGGTTAAACCACTTCTGCCTGTGACTGCTTGTCTCAGGGGATGTGGATTGAGCACTTCTGTGCTGCTCACTGTTCTCTGAGGCTCTGACATGAGGAAGCAAAGCCCTGCTTCTACCAAGATGGCTGCCTTCACAAAAAGAGACAGTGCAGAATGAGGCATGGTGAGTCAGTAATGGGGAAAGATCAGCTGCAGTCCTTTACCTTTTGCCTGTCTTTGTTTTGGGCACAGCTTCATGATGTGGCAAATAACATTTAGGGAGAAGCCAAAAATCCTTATTTCCTTACTTGTTCAAGGTCAATGATTCAGAAAGTAATAACACCAAAGCATGACAGGCAGTGAAGTAGAATTTTCAGTAGGTGCAGTCCGCAATGGAAGTCTACATGTGCTTTAATCGAATGAGGCCTATCTTTATTATCATCCTGCTCCCAGACATCAACTAACCATTGAACACAGTGGGGTTCAATACATAAGTGATCTGCCATAGAAATAAAATGCCTGGATTTTAAACCTCAGCTACTGGGAAATTATTAACTAGGTAACTTTCAGTGCAATTGCAGGGAAAAAAATGCATAGGTTTACTGAGGATTTAATATTGAAAGTCTTCTTCATGATATATGATTTTGCTGTTTACAATAAGTATTTTCTTTTGTTACACTTCCCACTTCTTGTTCCCAGGGGGAGTTGTTTACGGTGACGCCACTTCCCTGGTGTCCTCATCTGGAGTCAGTGTGTGAGATGCCCCCTTGCGGGCTGGAGGTGACACAGCCGTGCGTTGCTTGTGGTACAGACATAGAGAACTGGGTGTGCCTGACATGTTATGCGGTGAGGATAGTCTCCCTTTCTGCTGATTATCATTGTGGATGTCTCATGTTGTAAGCTGATTCTTCATAGTTCATTTCCGTCTTTCAGGTTCTGTGTGGGAGGTATGTCTCTCAGCACATGATATCTCATGGAGTCTCGTCCGGTCACAATCTTGTTCTCAGCTTCTCTGACCTGTCTGTCTGGTGTTACAGCTGTGATGCCTATATCCATAATGAGGTAGAGATCATATTAGAGGCTTTAGATATGACTGCCAGCATTCCCCAAATGCCCAAAAATAAATCTACCAATTCTTTATATATTTTCTTTATTACCTTTTTGTTAAATACATTTTCTTATTAAAGAAGCACTCTGGGCAACATTTTTATAAACCCTTGCAGTTGGGCTAGCCCTGCACTGCAAGGGTTAACTGCTCATTTTCATCTAGCTCTAAAAAAAAAAAAGTTATACTCACCTGATCCTCCGAGCTTGTTCTTAGACCGGTCCTTCCAGCCTCGCTCACCCTGTCCTTTAAAAACTAAAGTACAAAAACAAATATTTTTACATGTAAGGTAACTTAAGTATTACACATAAATGTTTCATATTTACATGTTTAGTTAGCATCTGGAGCGCGACTATTTTTCACATATTTACCCGGCTCTTCTTAGCAGCCGTGTTGAAAAAAGTCTGTTTTTAGTGCTCTGTAGCTCAAACTATAGTTTACACTCAGAACTGATTAAGTCAGAAGAGTGACTCCTCCCTTCCCTCTCACCTCGTGCTTGCTGTGTTTAATAAAAGGTACTGCTATGCTCTGTCCTCCGTCCTATATCTGCCCTTTGTGACAGTAGTATTATGAGTGAGCCTGTACTGTTAAAGGGGGTCTGTGTGTTTTGAATTGTGACATTTCCCTTTGAGTAATACTCCAAAACAGGTTTTGCTAAGTGGTGGCCAATCCTTTTTAATTTTTTCCTCTCATGGCATTGTGTGTCATGCACTCATATTGCAACCTGGCTGTGTGTGGGATGGAATCTTTCTTATAATCCTTTCTCTCATGTGTATTCTGTCTCATTCTTTCTCTCTTTTAGGTTCTGATTCCAGCAAAACAGTCGGCCTACTACTCCAAGTTTGGCGAGGAAATGCCAGGAACATAAAATATGCTGAATACCCCCAGATTCAGCATTTGCATCACACCATTGCTTTAACATGGGTCTATGGCGTGTTAAAAACACAAGGATTGAGCATTGCTGCGTGCCAGACGTTTGGTTTATAATGAAGCAGTGGGACTAAATTGTCAGGAGGCTTCTAAAAAATGCAAATAATATTTATACACATACATGCCATACTCCTTTCTAAAGCCAAAGTTTTTTTTTTTTAAATGTTTTGGATGGAGTGGGGAGGGGTTAGAACACCAGTTAGCTGTTAGCCGATTCAACCTCAGTTTTTGGAAATAAAATGATGGGAAATCCACATTTCTATAGTTGTCACCAGAACAGGGACAGATGGGAAATGGGTACACTCTTTCTAGTAACAACTGTCTAAGGGCTGGTTCACACTACAAAACTCCGCGTTCCAGTGCGTTCGGCCTCTGGAATGCAAGCCGGCCGGCTCCCTGTGGGAGAGGGCTTGGCGGTGCATTAAAGTCAATGGCACTGCAGCCACGCCCGCAGTGCGATCGCCCGCACCCGGAACGCAGGCACATTAGTGCCTGCGTTCCGGTCCAATGCGGTCTGCAAGCACTATTTTTGCAGCTCACATTGGACCGGAATGCAGGCACTTATGTGCCTGTGTTCTGGGTGTGGGCGATCGCACTGTGAGTGGGGGGCTTGGCTGCGGTGCCATTGACTTCAATGCACCGCCCCTGAACGCAGGGAGCCGGCCAGCTTGCCAGGGAGGGCGAACGCACTGGAATGCAGAGTTTGTGGTGTGAACCGGCCCTAAGAGGATTTTCCTTCAATTTCGATAGTTATCCCCTTCATGCTGTGCCGACAGGAAGTGGAAGGAAATCTCACCAATGGTACACGCACAGCACATAACTTTTATTTTCTTCTCTATCCAAAGCTAAAAGGAAATTATTTGGCTTTTGATACTATTTAAAGTTTTTTTGACTGTTAAGAACTGAAGATGATAAAAGTACTGATGCAAAGGGAGAAAATGTCCCGTGGAAACAATTCCTTTCTGGTATCCAGTAAAGAAAATTGTGTTCAGTCTTTGAGCCTCGTTTATCTTAAAATGGCTAATTACTTATCTCCATTTTATATCTAATATATAAATCAGACAGATTTCTAGTCTTTTTTTAATTTTTTTATTGCCGTGATATCTTTATGCTAGCGCCAGCCATTGAAGCAAAATTATATGTTATAATTTTTACTGGTATTTGTGTTGTCTTTTGCTGTTGACTGCAGAATGCTAAGACACAAAATTCTTTATCTTAATGATTCTCACGTGACAGCTAAAAAAAAACAACATTTTATATCATGAGAGCGGAATTATGGCTTGGTTGTTAGAACTGCTGCCTTGCAGTATTGGGGGCTCAAGTTGGATTCTCTCGAAGACACTACCTGCAATGAAGGTTTTATGTTTTCATATGTTTGTGTGGGTTCCTTCCCACCGTCCAAAATAACTGGGTGCAATGGATACCTGAGCAAACATAAGAGAGCTAGTTTAAAAATACTATTTAGAGAGCTGATTGTCTTGCTGCCCTGATGTATTATATAACATCTGTCAGAAATATAAAAAAGGTGAATCACCTTTCTTTTTCATCTCTCGAAGGACACAAGAGTCTTAACCTTTGGGTTATACTGCAAACTACAGGTGGATTACTGGTAAACACAAAAACTGTAGGCCAGCCCTCAGAATAATGACTCCTGCTACTAGCATAGTATGCCTTAGTTTGCTGCTAGAATTCTAGGAGAATGGATGCTTTTTTTTCAGTTCTGCTGGGATTTTTTTTTTTTTCATCCTTATTTTTCTCTTCAATCAAGGCTGTTCTCTGCACCAATGCTGAGGATTTCCCTTCTTATTCACAGATTTCTGACACGATCATGGCTTTTGAACTGTATCCCATTTCCATACTTCAGTCAGGTTAAGTTAGCTGTGAAGTGCTGCAGAGTTAGCTGTGGAGCACTTTCTAGGTCCAGAGCCACTGGCATTGCCTTTGTGTGTGCCCTGTATCTGAACACTTACTTAGTGAGCATGCTGGTCCAGCTGAGCATCGGGAGCTCCCTGGTTTTTTTTTTGGGTCGATGGGCGCTAGCATTCCTGTTTTTTGCCAGGTTTACCGCAAATGGGTTCAACACTGTGAGACGGAGAGCTGACATCATCAGCTGGGTGGAGTATTGCGCCCTCTTTCCCACCATACAACTGCTCCTGTTGCGAAGGACCATGTGGAGCTTCAATCTTTGATCCATTCTTGCTGCCCACCTACAATGACTTTGGTCAACTCTGGCCATCCAACCTTCTGGTCGGAGACCCTTACCTACTACAATCTAACAGGTTTCATGAGTACTTGAGGCTTTGCCTCTTACCCTGAGCCTGAACACTGCCTAATTATGTTTTCAACTGCAACATGTCTGATTCTAGACACGGGAAGGACAGTCCCAGTACCAGGTGCTCCCAGCTCCCTTTCTACTAACTTGTCCAGGGCTGCTTGCAATGCACCTACTGATGTTTTTGATGTCTGCAGCTTGAACACACTTTGTCCTATGCTGTTAGAGTCTCACCCCTTCTCGGAGTCTTCCTCAGCTGTGTCGAGTTTGGGTGGATCCACTGCCCTCTTGGCTGTGGTTTTTACTACAGTCTTACAGGACTTTATAACCCAAAAAAACCTAGTTATTTTCTGACTCTTACGCCCTCTTTACACCTGAGGAGTCACAGGATAATGTTTTTACTCCCAAGTTAAAAAAAAGGCCATCTTGATTCTTATCGATGTGGTGCACACTACCCTGAAGCTAGAGGATCAGCCTGGTGCTTCTGCCAGTGCTTTATCCAGCATTGGGTCGTATAGGGCCCCTAAAACCACAAAGACCTTTCCTTAATACCCACATTTCCAGTTGTTTCTGTATGGAGAGTGGAAGCGTCCTGACAGGTTGTTTACTCCCCCTGGCTTTGTGTCCATTCAGGGAGGACTTTGTTCAGAAGCCAATTTATTTGGCCTGGGGGGGAAGTCCTGGGAACCTTTGTCAGTGCAGGGTGGGAGGAAGCTGGATATGGACCTCCAGGCTCCACCCCAGGAGCTTTTACAGTGGGACAAAATGCTCTCCTTCTTGCAGTTGGGTCTGGACCAAGGTTTATCAGCACCAATTAAGGTCAAGTCTCTTTCCATTCCCACTCTTTGATTGAGACCTATGTGCAGGGGGGCTCCCATGCTGTTCCCCCATTTTTGTGATTTTTGTGGGATCCGCATCTGGTTCTCTCAGTGCTTCAGATGCTGCCATTTGAACCCATTTCAGACAATGATCTCTGTATTGTGACCCACAAGGTTGCTTTCCTTGTAACTCTCTTATCTTGAAACAAACAGTTTTTGGTCTTGCATATGGAGAAAGTGGTGATGAAGTCCAGGCCCTTTCCTGGGCTGTGTGAGGTCTGGGCTGTGTGAGTCTATCTCCCCAGTTGGACTGCTTTTGGACATCCTGAAGGTTCAGATTCTTAATGGATGAAAAAGAAAATAGGATTTTTGTTCTCGCTATAACATTATTTTCTTGGATTCCATTGATTGACCTGAGTCCTACCCCTCTGTGTTTATGATCATACTGTTATACTGCTTTGTTACAAAACTGAGACATGCTTGCAGTAGAAGGGGTTATCCTGGGCTGGCCTACAGTTTATTTCCATTTGCAGGTGTCCAATCCTTCTGTAGACATTAGAATAAGCTGAAGGTTAAGACTTCAGCTGGCCATACACCTAATAGATCATCTGCAGATTTTCTATGGTAATGTGGAAAATGTGCAACAGATTCCTCCATCTACTCTAAACTGTGTGGATGGAGGAATCTCCTACTGGGCCAAGCTTCTTGCTAGTCGGCCCCACTGGCTCTCAAGCACCTGAACAATGTCTTCATCTAATCAGATTGTTCAGGTATTTTGACAGCCAGCGGGGCCGACTAGCAAGATACTGAAGCCTGGCCCAGTGGGAGAGTCCTCCATCCACACAGTTTAGCGTAGATGGAGGAATCTGTTGTACTTTTTCCATCTGACCATAGAAAATCTGAGTACAAAAATCCTATTTTCAATAGTCATTGTCTTTATTGCAAGGACTTTGGTTTACAAAAAGGGTGCACCTGATTGGATAGCTTTTCCAGAATGACCTATCGGGTCTTTCAACTTTGGGGTAGTGACTGACATTTAGTTTGTAAAATGGCACATTCTACCAGCAATTTTACTCTGAATTATTAAGATGGAATTTGAAAAAAAAAAAAACTGGGGCAATTCTTGTAATATGACCACACATCATTGTTATTCTGAATGTCTGTTTTTGGTGCCACTATTGATTATTTAATATTGTTATTTTGTAATTATACACATACATTTTACACAGACTGTCTCTGTTCTTCTCTCTTTTGTTCCTTTAAATGTATCACAGGGACATTTGTGATATCTTTTGAGCAGCGGTAGGTGGTCTTGCAGCCTTTAGGTGGACTTGTATTAATAATATGAGAATAATGCCGCAACTGTTTGTGACTTCTAATATCTATATATCACACAAGTCTGAAGGCCATAGAATGGTTTATAGAGCTTTTTTAAGTTTAAAAACTATGGCCCAGATTATGTACAATTAAATATTTACACATTCTTAACAAGCAGTAAATGAGCTTTCAATAAGCCATGACTGACCTCTGTAGCTGTGGCACTGTGCAGCAACTCATCCTCAAATGTTTACAAGATGAGATGAAGTTGTTCAGATCAGGTCTTGACACTCTTGTGCTTCTCTATTCCTGTGCACCTGCTCTATGTTTATATTAGAAGGCCGCCAGGCTGCCAAGTCACTGTTCAGAGCAGGGAGCAGAATGGTGTGAGTTGCTGAAATGAAAGTGTTTCTGCTTTACATTTCAGGATCAATTGCTCCACTGTGCCTGAAGCTATGGTGATCAGTGAAGACTTGTCTTAAAGATCATTTACTGCTTGTTGAGGAAATGTAAATGTTCAGTGTTCATAGCTTGGCCACAGTTCTAACGTAAAGTAAAATTTCCAGATATTTTAAAGAAAAGTTCCAGTGGAAGAGAAGACACCACAGTCTTTATTAACTAGAAAACTAGTGAAGCAAGCTTCATTCTAACAATGGTTTTACATCAGGACTAAGCCCCACCAACTGCCATTCCCTTATCCAATGAACTGCCAAAGAATTTGCAATTCCGTTCACTCATTACTGTGATCCAGTCATCCCCACCATACAGTACAACCAGGTGCTGCACTCCCTGAGACCTCTATACATATTACACTGCGATTTGCCAAACCTGCCAGGTCTATGCCCTGCCAAAAATTCAACAAAAGTCTTTGAAATGTACTCACAAGTGTGGGATGTTTGCTGTTGCCTGTTGGTGGCCCATGTGCCTTCTGCAAATGCAAAGCACGCTCAACGTGACCAGAGGTGGGGCTCACAGCTGAAGAGGTCAGAAGACAATGGGTGGGATTGACTGATAAGGAAGAGATCAATGAAAAGCTGTATATTCGCAGCTTCCCCACTGCCAAGAGGGTGACGAAAAGCTCCTTCAATGTCTAGGTCGGAAAGCCGTTCCTATGGATACACATTTCAGGGTGTTCCCTTTGTCAAACCACCTTTGAACTGCAAGATGTGCGTTTCCATCGCATCAACATTGGAGCATTTTGCTTCTATTGTTCAGACATAAAAAGACATTGTCAAACTGCATATCTATAAAGCAGTCAATGTGACTTTCGCCAAAGCATTACTGGTTGTGAATTAATCACTGTCATTTAAATCACATAAACCTGGAAGATTTACCTGCAGTGAATGTCAGATTCATTGCTTTAAAAATATGCCCCTTCGTTTATTGCACAGTGGAATCACTACTATTTCTACAATGCAGTGGGACCAGGCTGGCTTACGGTCAGCCTGGCCCTCCCAGCCTACGAGCTACTCTGGAGGAGATTAGGGAAAGTTGATATTTAAGTGTATCTAAACAAAAATGACGTACAGTCATGGCCAAAACTATTGGCACCCCTGCATTTCTGTCAGATAATGCACCGCTTCTCACAGAAAATTGTTGCAATTACAAATGTTTAGGCAGTCTCATGTTTATTTCTTTTGTTTGTATTGGTATGACACAAAAAAGTTGAGGAAAAAAAAGCCAAACCTGACACATTCCTCGCAAAACTCCAAAAATGGACTGGACAAAATTATTGGCACCCTCAACTAATATTTGGTAGCACAGCCCTTGGAAAAAAATAACTGAAATCCATTGCTTCCTGTAACCATCAATGAGTTTCTTACACCTCTCTACAGGAATTTGGAGCACTCTTCTTTCGCCAACTGCTCTAGGTCTCTCAGATTGGAAGGGTTGCTTTTCTCAACTGCTGTTTTGAGATCTCTCCACAGGAGCTCTATGGGATTCAGATCTGGACTCATTGCTGGCCAGTCCAGTACTCTTCAGCGCTTTGTCTGAAACCATTTCTGGGTGCTTTTTGACGTGTGCTTTGGGTCATTGTCCTGCTGTAAGATCCATGACCTCTGACGGAAACCCAACTTTCTGACACTGGGTCCTATATTGCACCCCAGAATTCTTTGGTAGTCTTCAGATTTCATAATGCCATGCACACAGTGAAGACATCCAGTGCCTGAAGCAGCAAAGCAACCCCAAAACATCCGTGAACCTTCACCATGTTTGATGTAGGGACTGTATTTCTTTCTTTAAAGGCCTCATTTCTTTTTCTGAAAACAGTAGAATGATGGGCTTTACCAAAAAGCTGTCATTTTGTTTCCTCTGTCCACAGCACATTCTCCCAAAAGGATTTTGGCTTCCTCAAGTAAGTTTTGGCAACTCCAATCTGGATTTTTTATGTTTCTGTGTCAGCAGTGGGGTCCTCCTGGGTCTCCCTACCATGGCGTCCCTTTTTGCTCAGATGGTGACATATAATTTGAGCTCGAAAACGAAAAGAAAAACCTTGCCGCACTCCCATAATATGCAGACGGGTGCTCGAAATGACCGCAAATGGCGCCGCCACATGTAGATACTTTAGAGCATGTGTGTCAAACTCAAGGCCCAGGGGCCGAATCTGGCCCACCAGGCCATTTCCTAGACTACTTTCAGATCTAGATAATAAGTTATTACTAATACCAGTGATAATCGAATGGAGAGGCAATTATGATAAAGATTAAATACATTTATACTGTATAGTCTTACAGGACCTTTTGAGGGCAACCATAATGTTGATGCGGCCCTCGATTAAATTAAGTTTGACACCCCTGCTTTAGAGGATGTCACCAGCACACCATACGATGATAATCAGCAAGTGTTCATTTATTGACAATCGCTGTCTCTCATTAACAAGCGCTTTTGGGGCTACACAGGGTCCCCTTCATCAGGCTCAGAGATGACATCTGATCTGACCTGTGTGGCCCCCGAAAGCGCTTGCTAATGAGAGACAGCGATTGTTAATAAATGAATACTTGCTGATTATCATCGTGTGGTGTGCTGGTGACATCCTCTAAAGTATATAGTGCGAGCTGGCACAGTTGTACCCCGTGCTTGAAGGTCAGCTTGAATTTGTCTGGAAGTTGATGGAGGGTCTTTATCCACCACTCCATCAATCCTTCTTTGCAATCTTTGATCAATTGTTTTCTTTCATCCACGTCCAGGGAGATTAACCTGCTTGATATTGTTGTGCACAGTGGACACATGAACATTAAGATCTCCAAGGTTTGGACAGTTAACCTTGAGATTGTCCATGCTCTTCCACAAAAACTTGGAATGCAATTATTTCTTGCAATTTGGAGAAGGTGCCAATAATTTATCAAAACTGGATCTGGAGCAGCTGTGCACAGCAACCAATCAGCTTCTCTCTTCAGTTTGTTCAGTTAAGATTTAAAAATGAAAGAGAGAAGCTGATTGGTTGCTGTGGGCAATTGCTCCAGATTTTGTCTGCTCCAGTTTTGACAAATTCCCTTCACTATGTTCTCAAATATACTCAAACACTCAGTGATCGCTGACTGCTTGTACCCACTCTCCATTGCTGTCACAGGAGGCGTGAGTAGTGAGTGGTGCGGGGAGGAGAGCTCGGTCTCCTCTGACAGCTGAATCCGCCCCCGCACTGCCGTCCCGGCCACCTGTGACAGCCACCTCCGCCGCTCTCCTAATCTGTCACTGGAGGCTGAGCGGTGCGGGAGGAGAGACGCCAGCCACTCACATGGCTCTCTTCCCCCCCGACAGTTTCTCTCCTCTCCATTGAGACACAGAGCAGCTCCCAGTGGGGAGGAGAGAAACTCCTCCCCAGTGGGATAGTGGGATGCACCACTATTTTGGGCAAAAGATGGCACTTTTGGCATTTTGCCAAAAGTGCAATTTTCAACCAATATGTTTGGGCAGCTTAAATTTCGGTGCATCCCTACTAATAACAGTCAACACAAGAAGTCATCAGCACACAAGACTTCTGGTAAGATCAACTAGCATTGTTTTGCACTTACTAAACATATATAATATGCTTCTAATTGTATTTTTAACAGACTAAATGGAAGCAAATAATAGGCTACTTTACCACACACACGGACTGGGTGTACTGGGTGCCCCAAGTTCACTGCCCACTAATGGCTCTGGGGCTGCATATGTTACTGTCCAATCCTCCTGTAGGCGGCGCTATAACTTAAAGGTTAAAGACTTCCCATGTTCCTCAATCGACTCCAACAAAATGATTTTATGGTGAGAACAAAAACCTAATTTTTCTTTAGTCATCCATCAAAGGGTGAATACCATTAATATAATTTCAGAGGAAAGAAAGGTGTTGATGCTTGCAGCTATGTGTGTAATATAATATACAGTATTTATCAGACATATAACTGGAGTTCTTAAAAAAGAACCCAGTACCAGTTAACTGATAAAATCAAATCTCTACACCTTTTACTACTCACCCTTTCCACTCAATGCCTCTTTAAGCCTACAATAGCCAGTGACAATTCTATAAAGAGACCCTGTCACTGATTTGCAGGTAAAAGCACAGAAAAAAAATCAAGTGCACCATTGTAACTTTCCATAAATTATGTTTTACTCAGCCCCTGTTAAAAATGAACAGGAAGCCTCTATACTGAGTGCACCTGTGAACTAGCCCTCACTGTTAGGGCTAGTTCACACGCACTGGATCGCATCCCGGCCGTCTCACTGCGTTCTGGGGTGCAACATCAATGCCTGCTTTCCAATCTGGTGCGGTCAGAAAAAATAGTGCATGCAGCATTTTTTCTGATCGGACTCGATCGCAGTGGGCTCGGCCGGGTTGCGATCCAGTGCGTTCCGGCACAGAATCTGGTCGCAACGTACTGGTGGTGGTGTGAACTAGCCCTTAAAGTGCAACTGAACTAACTGGCAAATTTGACTACTTCTGAAGAGTCATTTTAGCACAGCCCCCCTCCTTCCTTGCACATCATAGCCCTTTCCTTTTCTCAGAGTGTCTACATTACTCTCTGTGCTATTCTAGCTCCTCCGTCCCTTCCCCTTTTCATATGGTTTTTATATAAACGATTCTAAAATCAATGACAGCTGGTATCAAGTCAGTGACGGACAAGATGTATGCTTGGGGGCTTATGTAGCACTGGTGTAGGCAATGCAGGGCTAGCAGGAAGAAGCAATGTATTTAGCACGACAGAGTGCAAAATGATTGGCAACAGGAAGGGGAATTGAGCAAAGGGTGTAGGTTAAGCATATTCTGCCCATGGTAAAGGATTTGCACGGAGAGGTGATGCACAGCACGGAGGGGGGCAGCTGATCTGCAGAGGAGAGGAGGGGGTCATGCTCAGCTCCGAGATGCAGCAACGAAGGCACAGAAAATGGTGCATGTGTGTTGAATACAACATCTGGGGATCAAGGTAAGATACAGGATGTTATTGTAATATAATAATGAACAATCTGCATTTCTACAGACTGCAAGATATGCTCATGATAGAGGACACAGCTGTATATAGACCACTGTGATTCACATCTTCATTTAAATAAGATAGGTAATGGGTTCTGGATCAGATATCTGAATAAAAGGAGGAGCAGGTTTCTAACTATTAGATATCTGAATGCAGGGAGGATATGGTTAGAGAGTCTGATATTCACAAAGGAAAGAGGAGCATAGATTCCTTATCAGATACAGTATAGTGAAAGGGAGATAAACTGTAGATCTTCGAGCCAGCTCCATGCACAAAGGACCAGACAGATTCTAGGTAAGGTATACACAAGGAGAAAAATATATGTTCTATATATGTATAGATAGAAGAAGACCTGAGTATTCTACAAAGGAGTAGACGGGTTGTCTTTATGTGTCCAGAGAGGAATAGGCTTCTTTTTTTTTTAGAAAGAAACAGTAGATAGATTTAAGATTAGGCACTATATACAGAGCTGATATCTATAGAATGAAGGAGACAAGTCCTAGGTCCCATATCAGACTAGAGTCCATTTATCTAAATCCTGTATCAGACTAATGGCTATATATCTAGGGATCAAAGGAGACAAGTCCTAGGTCATGTACCAGACTGAAGACCATATGCTTTTGGCATGAAGGAGACAAGTCCTAGGTTTTGTTTCAGACTGGAGATGATACATATATGTGTATTGAATAAAGAAAATAAGTCCTAGGTCTTGTATCAGAATGAAGACCATATATCTTGGAATAAAGGAAACAAGTTCTAAGTCCTGTATTACACTGGAGAAAAAATATATATAGAAGGAAGGAGGTCATATGTCTGTGGGATGATGCAGAACAGTCAGGTCCTATATCAGACAGGAGACCATATATCTGAAATAAAGGAGACAGATCCTAAACCCCATTTTAGACTGAATACAAAAAATAATGCTATAGAATAAGGGAGATAAATCTTCGGTCCTAAATTACACTGGAAACTATATATCTATGGAATGAAGGAGGCATGTCCTAGGTCTCATATCAAACTGGAGACCATATATCTGTAACATGAAGGTCACAAGTCCTAGGTTCCGTATCAGACTGGAGACCATATATCTATGGAATGAAGGAATCAAATCCTAGGTCCAATATCAAACTGGTTTATCTACCTGTGATAATAAGAAGACAAATCCTAGGTCTTGTGTCACATATCTGCATACATAAAAGGAGATGAGATCTAGGGCCATATCTGCTTAGAGAAATGGTGGGACCACCACAATTCTATAGCACGTTTCTATGTACAAAGAGGGGGGAGGGTTCTAAACCTGGATATATGAGTTCAAAGGGGGTAGGCCATTTCCAGATCACATATGTAGACCGACTGAAAGGGGAGAGATTTTGGGTCATATAACTGTAGAAATAGAATAGTTATCAGAATAGAAAGAGAAAAAGATGGACTTAGTGTTTACACTGAATGATCATGTTAAAGGTTCAGACCACCTAAAAGGAGTATTTTACCTATAGGTGATTTAAAATCATGATTTGAATGTTCCAACAGCAAGATTTATTTGCTATAACTCCTGACTCTGTTACTGTCCACCTGGACGTTTTGGTGTCCCTGACCACCTATAAGTGTTCCAGCTCCTCCTGTTACATTCTTCATAATACAAATAAAATAATAAATTCTGCACGGATAGTGGAAGCACCTCATAATAGCCACAGAAGGTAGAGAGACCCAGGAACTCGGCACAGAAATATCACCAATAGAGACCCCCAAAGACAGAGAAAACTGCCAGATGGTTAAGTCTCCAGCATCCAGAAAAATCTGTACGGTAATATTAATTCTGGGTGGACTAACCCTTTAAGGCAGAATATACTCATTTTTTAGATCACTTATTTAATTTGTGCTGTTTGAAAAATAGATTATTTCCCTGAAGTTCCTCTTTAAGCAGCAGTTGGTAATTTACTTGAGGTTGCCTCTATAATATGTTGTATTTGTTTTTGTCATCTCAGGTGAATCTCCATGGAACCTCTTGGACATGTGCAGCTGTACGACACAGAGTTTGTCCAGAATGGCAGGGCGGTCACTGTCTTGTGGGCTTCCTGCACCCTCTTCCTAGCCATCCTGGAGATCACAGTGCTCCTGCAGCCTTCCTGGGTTTTAGGTGGGGAGAGTAGTGGGCAGTTTGGACTTTACCAGGTGTGCGAGGAGACAGACTGGGGCACCGAATGCAGAGGACCACCGGCTGCTCTGGAGGCTCTCCCTCCTTTCCAGACTGCAGCCGGGTTCATGGTTGGGGCTCTCCTGCTGGTTCTGTTCAGCCTGGCCTGTATTGGACTGCTGCGGTTCTGTAACTCAGGGACAGTTTTCAAGTTGTGTGGTTGGCTTCAGATCAGTGCAGGTAAGGCATGGAACAGTGGTACCATATCTGGGTTTTATTTCTTAAAGCGGTTCTAAACCCTCCCGTTTTTTTGCCTATATCTACTGCTATCAAGCAGTAGATATAGGCAAACAGTTTAAAAAAACCCCGCTAAAACAGCAGTTTAAACTTACCTTTTTTCTTTGCGTGCTCCCGCAGCAAAGCATCTTGGGGCGAGCGCATGCGCAGTTCGGATTCTCGGCCCGGAGATGAGCAGAGACACAAGGTAAGTGTATGGACGTGTGCACCCGCATGCAGACACCGCTGGGTCGGAGAGCCGCCACACCGCTGGAGGGACAGATGAAAAGGACAGGAAAGAAGAAGAACGGAATAAGAGACATCATTTAAGGTAAGTGCTAACAGTAACATGGGGGGGAGGGGAAAAAAATTTGACTTTAATGTGACTTTAAAGTAAACCTTTCCTCGTGACATTTTTGCACATTTTGGATAGAATGTAGAGCTAAAATTTGTCAGGTTGTTTCTTTCTGTGCTCCCATTAAGCAGATATTCCCTCACTGCTGGAGCTCAAGGACTGCGTGGTAATGATAAAAAGTAGTAGCATTATACTGTGGCACCTCATTTCTTATTCTCCTGGCAGCTCATGTGCCATGCTCTCCTTCTGGACAGTGGCCTATATTGAAAGAACAGTGGGCAGTAGAAAAGAAAGGAATGTTACTACCAAATTGGTAATCAGATATCAGTAATTATTTTCAAGCTTTTTCCACTGTGTAGAGAGGTCAGAATGCGGTGCCCTGCTGAAATAAGAAATATTATATACATAGGGCAGGGCATCACACCCACATACACCTAGGGGTCTGTTTATAAACAGTTTGCAGGGCCCTTCACCCTGTGAATGTTCAAAAAGGAATGTTCTTAATATATTTTTTCCCAGTTCGAATGTAGTGTGTTGTAATAATACATTATGGCCACTAGAAGGAAAAAAAACGTTTTTGTAGATTTGGATAGTACTGAGGGGATAGAACCTCTGTCAAGTTTTAACTGTTGTCTGGTCCCAGTTCACTGATGTCTTCGAAAAAGGAAAGTGAGGCAAAACTCAAAATGTTGAGCTGCCACCAGAACAGGAATAGAGGGGACGTTTTTTAATGGAGACACTTGCTCCAATGACAATTGTCTAAGAGGGGAATTCTCTCACATTGAAAATATACCATCTCACTTCCTGTTGAGTCTACATGACAGGAAGTGAAGGAAAATCTTCCTTATAAGACTGATGGCAAATTACAAACTGATAGCAGTTTTAAGCCTCCATTACTCTATCCAAAGGTTTCGGCTTTACTCTTGACATCCCCTAATCTGCATGCTTGCTCTAGGTCAGTAAAGCCACAGCCAGCCAGCAAACTAGCGTTTTTATGAGCGGTCAGCTATGGCATTGTCACTTACTCCAGTTATCAGAACTATCATGCCATTATTTTTGACTTCTAAGAAACAACACACCAATAAAAATGCTCGTTAAAAACCTGAGGTCAAAATTACTGGGGTGAAGCCAGTAAGAAACCAATCAGCAATCATCTTTGACTGTCGGAACTTCTCTGCTCTGATTGTTCGCTATGGTTGCTGCTTTGAACTCGTCATATTTTTCCTGTTGACCTTTGTCCTTACTAACCTTATGTTTATGTCTATTTATTTTTAAGCCTCATGCCAAGCTTTGGGTTGCATCCTCTTCCCAGATGGATGGGATTCTGCCGCCGTCCGTCCATTGTGTGGCTATCGCTCAGACAGATACGAGCTGGGGACCTGCTCCGTGCACTGGGCATATATATTGGCCATACTGGGAATATTCGACTGTCTCGTTCTGTCTGTATTGGGGTTCACCCTCGGGAAACGACATGACGCCCTGAATCCCAGTGAAGTCAAGTACCCCCAAAAAGGTGGGGGCTCCTTTCTCTATGGTCTACAGACACATATTTATTTTTCTGCTTTATTATTATTAATGAAATTGGAACATTGTTCATATTATTAGTTTATACAAAACCAACATATTCCAAATATGCAGCTTGTCTGCAAAGCTCTCCTTGAGCCGCTTATTTGAATGCTGAGAGAGGCAGATACCTCTTTCGCCCTTGCCGGGAGATATCTGACGGTTTTAAGGCTCAGTTTGGGAGTCCAGGTCTAGTCTGTGAGAGTAGAAATCACATCAGAAATCCCAGCAATCCAAAAGGCGCTTACATTCTAAGGGCCGTATTTCACACACATACAGGGCCAATTGACCTTCCAGCATGTCTAGTGCTAACCACTAAGCCACTGTGCTGCCTATCAGACAGGACAGGAAACAATGAAACACCTCCCCACTTCCTGTCTTTTTAAAAGGTGTCAGACAGAACAGGAAGTAAGCATAAATCCACCCAATGGGGACACAGACAGCAATAAAAACACACTCTAAAAGAGTGAGGAAAGGTTTGCCTGAATACATTTAGGCTGGGTTCACACCTAGGCGTATTGAATATGCGCGTCTGTCGCGCGTTTTTTTTTACCGCGATCCGCGGTAAAAAAGTTGCGCGACCGTCGCGCGATTCCGAAGGCTACTTGGCTGTATCCCAATGTAAAACGCCCTAAAAAACGGCCCAAAGAAGTACATGTACTTGTTTGAGCGTAGGCCGCTTTGTAGGGCGTTTCAGACGGGCGGAAATACGGAAAGGTGTGAACCAGACCCATAGAAAACAATGGGATTTTCATGTTTGTACGTTTTGTTGAGCGTTCATAGAGCGTTGAACGCGCGACAAAACGTAAAGGTGTGAACGGGGCCTTAGGTGTCGATCTTTCCCAGCTCATATAATTAGCAGGTAAGATTTTGCATTTGCACATTTGCTGCCGTTGTTGGTTCTCCTTGGAGACTATAAAGTTCCCAGCATGCACTGAGTTCTGTAATTTAGTGGGAGCAGCTGCTGACTTCATGGGTGCATTGAAGGTTGTCTGCTCTCCAGCTAACAAGGCAATACCATGAATTATTGTTGTGTCCTTGTAATTAATCTACGTCCAGATGGGATGGTGAGTCTCCTCTGCTGACCTTGCTGGTCTGCAGCAGTAACGCGGCGGTAGAAGGTTGTTAGAGGAGCTGACTCAGTGTTCTGGTTGGGTCCAGAGACCGGAGTGGTACAAGCAGAGTATGCTGTTAATATTCTACTTGGGTAAACAGCTGAGACATGTAGGAGCTGCTTTTTGTCTATATGCTTGCATATAGTACAACAACACTGGGACAACACTGTTCAGAGCCTGCAATTCTACAGATTCCATGCCTCTGCCACTCCTCTGGCAGCTATTTGGACTATTAATGGTATACCCACAGTGGTGATGCCCACCCTGTGCTGCTCTAATTCTGTTCTGTACCCCCCCCTGACACCCATGAGCTTACAAAGGTAGTACGCCCACCGCAAGCCTGATTTCAGCCGAATTATGCTGGCTCTGTAGAATTATGTATTTTAGGTAATCATATAAGGGAGTTTAGAGTAGAGATCCCCTTAAGTGTGGCTGTGCAGGGCAGAGGGGGACTACTTGGCACATGACATTTCAACCAGGGAAGAGAAGGAGGTTTGGCAGGCAATGAGGATAGCTCAGGGGGCCACTGGAAGTGTGGACCACCAGACTGCTAATGTCAAGGCTGCAGTACAAATCATGGTTACAGTCCTTTGCTGTCAGGCAGAAAGGCAATCTAAAGTCCTTAGATAGAGATTAGATAGACTCCTCAGCTCCATCTTGGGGTGCTAGTGCCAAATAACATTTAACAGTTTCAAAAAATATTGTTTCTATTATAGATTGTAATATATGTACATGTTACAGCCATATTTGCTCATTACATACAGTTGTGTGAAAAAGTGTTGGCCCCCTTCCTGATTTTTCATTGTTTTGCACGTTTGTCACACTTTAATGTTTCAGATCATCAAACACATTTAAATATAACAATTATCAAAGATAACACAAGTAAACACAACATGCAGTTTTTAAAGGAAGGTTTTTATTATTAAGGGAAAACAAAATCCAAACCCACATGGCCCTGTGTGAAAAAGTGTTTGCCCCATAAACCTAATAACTGGTTGGGCCACCCTTAGCAGCAAGAACTGCAATCAAGCGTTTGCGATAACTTGCAATGAGTCTGTTACAGCGCTGTGCAGGAATTTTGGTCCGCTCATCTTTGCAGAATTGTTGTAATTCAGCCACATTGGAAGGTTTTCGAGCATGAACCACCTTTTTAAGGTCAGGCCATAGCATTTTAATAGGATTCAGGTCAGGACTTTGACTAGGCCACTCCAAAGTCTCCATTTTGTTTTTCTTCAGCCATTCAGAGGTGGACTTGCTAGTGTGTTTTGGATCATTGTCTTGCTGCAGAACCCAAGTTCGTTTCAGCTTGAGGTCATGAACAGATGGCCGCACATTATCCTTCAGGATTTTTTGGTAGACAGCAGAATTCATGGTTCCATTTATCACAGCAAGTCTTCCAGGTCCTGAAGCAGCAAAACAGCCCCAGACCATCACACTACCACCACCATATTTTACTGTTGGTATGATGTTCTTTTTCTGAAATACGTTGTTACTCTTACGCCAGATGTAATGGGGCACACACCTTCCAAAAAGTTTAACTTTTGTCTCGTCAGTCCACAGAGTATTTCCCCAAAAGTCTTAGGGAATCATCAAGATGTTTTCTGGCATAACGGAGACAAGCTTTTATGTTCTTTTTGCTTAGCAGCGGTTTTCGTCTTGGAACTTTGCCATGCAGGCCATTTTTGCCCAGTCTCTTTATTATGGTGGAGTCATGAACACTGACCTGAACTGAGGCAAGTGAGGCCTGCAGTTCTATGGATGTTGTTGTGGGGTCTTTTGTGACCTCTTGGATGAGTCGTCCCTGCGCTCTTAGGGTAATTTTGGTTGGCCGCCCACTCCTGGGAAGCTTCACCACTGTTCCAGGTTTTCACCATTTGTGGATAATGGTGGTTTGCTGGAGTCCCAAAGCTTTAGAAATGGCTTTATAACCTTTTCCAGACTGATACATCTCAATTACTTTCTTTCTCATTTGTTCCTGGATTTCTTTAGATCTCGGCATGATATGTAGCTTTTGAGGATCTTTTGGTCTACTTCACTTTGTCAGTCAAGTATTATTTAAGTGATTTCTTGATTGCGAACAGGTGTGGCAGTAATCAGGCCTGGGTGTGGCTAGAGAAATAGAACTCAGGTGTGATAAACCAGAGTTAAGTTTGGGGGCGCAAACACTTTTTCACACAAGGCCATGTGGGTTTGGATTTTGTTTTCCCTTAATAATAAAAACCTTCCTTTAAAAACTGCATGTTGTGTTTACTTGTGTTATCTTTGACTAATATTTAAATTTGTTTGATGATCTGAAACATTAAAGTGTGACAAACGTGCAAAGCAATGAAAAATCACACAACTGTATGCAAGCTCTGCTACCTGCTTATTAGTGCTGCACAATAGTTGTACATGACTGATCCTCTATTCTTACTTCATGTCAAATGTAATGTGATCTTGGTTGTCTAGGCTGCGTATTGAAAGCAAGAAGGAGGCACCTATATATACAGGGTGTACAGTAGGCACAGAACTGAAGAGAGAATATGTACCTTCTTGCCGGTCCTCCCATATTCTGTGTCAAACTTGTCAACAAAATGTTGGGAGAAGTGGAGTTACATTTTAACTTATGGTTACATTGCTGGCCTGTTCAGAATTTGCTGAATCAGGTTTAACCAGTTGATGGAGGGTGTCAGGAGGAGAAGGGAGGGAGATCAGCTCCTTGCTGATCTCTCTCCGGGCTGTGAACGCAGAAGTGATGTGTATCACATCACTTCCGCATTCACCTGTCAATCATCTGGCTGCTATAGCCAGAGAGAAGAAGCTGATGAAGCAGATCTCTGCTTCATACGCTTCTTTAGGGGTCCCAAGGTGACATTAGGGGTCCTAGAGACCCCTAATGTCTCCATAAAGAGGACCTGTCAGTGTGCCTTTGCTAATATATAGGGGGATTGTATCCCCCTATGTAATAGCAATAACAATAAGTGTTAAAAAAAAAAAAATATATATACATAAAAAAAGTTTAAAAAAACAAAAGTCTCAAATAAAAAAACTGACATGTTTGGTGTCTTTTTACCCGACGTGACCGCGTCTTTTATATTTTACCAAAAAATTGGGTAATAATAAATGTTTTAGAATTTAATATTAGGGGAAACAGGTTTTTTTTCCAGTAATTTTTCCTTAATATATTAAAAAATAAAACCCCCAGTGGTGATTAAATACCACCAAAAGAAAGCTCAATCTGTCCCCAAAAAATGGTATAAAATGTAGTTCAGTACAGCGTTGCATGACGGAATAAATGTCAGTCAAAGTACCGCAGCGCTGAATACTGAAAAATGGCCTGGATGGGAAGGGGGTTTAACACCACAGACTTCAAGTAGTTAATGTTGTTTATGTATAATTAATGTTTTACAGACTTCCCGTCAGAAACCCTGTGACCGCCAATGACAGCAAGAAGCAGTTTTTTCCATTGTGATGATGTTTTTGTTTTGTTTTTTAAATGGCAGAACTCTTTTATTTATTTATCTATTTATTTTCTTGTGTAATAAAAATAAACTGAGAGTGTGACTTGTATTTCAGAGATAAGTGAGTCCACAGATATGTTCCAGTATGTCCTCAGAAATTTCATGTCGGTCACTGATGGTTATTTGGGTCACTGATCCATTGGGGCTCCTCTGTCATACTGTAAATCAACCGAAATGTACAGGAAAACCAGACCAGTTATTGAGAAAGCAACAAGGAGTTTATTTCATCATAAAACATCAAAAGGACAAGCCAGCAGGTTTAGGAGGTTCTAGCGTTTCGAAACGCTAAGTGTTTCTGGGGTTCTAAAAAAATTGGATGGTCTCATGCTTAAATGGGTTTAAAATTCTAATAATTACATCCTAGGGTTAAAGGGGAACTAATATCCACTTTACTTACCTCCACTCCAGTGCAGAAATGTTTGCCGCCAACATCTTCGTCTGGTCTTCTGGGTGCGGCATCTTTGGCCACGTTGATTGGCCAGCCCGGGATGATGTAGCTCCTGTGCAATGCACACAGGAGTTTATTAATTCCAGCAGGAGTTAATTCATTTTATGGGCTTTAGTTCCACAAGATGTTGAAAGGTGATGCGAGGAATCTGACACCATGCCTGATGAATAACATATCCCATACGATGCAGTGTACGACGAACAGTGCGTTCAGAGATCATTTGAGAGGATCCCTGATTAAGATCTGCAGTAATTTGATGCAATGTTGCCCTTCTGTTGTCTTGTACCAGTCTTGCCACTCTCCGTTCTGCCCTAACATTGACTAGTCGCTGGCGGCCACATTTCGCACGTTCAGACCCAGATTTTTGGCTGACAGTCCAGTCTTTAAACACTTTTTTTTGCAGAAATATTGTTTATGAAGTTTTCTCACAAGCAAGTATAAAAATAAAACAACTTACAAAGTAAAACAACATACAACATACAAAGGCAGCATAGGGTAGAGGTGATTGCGTGGTCAAGAAGGGTGGATCATGCATTTATGTCAGTGTCTTAAACTCATCCGTTGCCATAAACATTAACATAAACATTAACCACGGCCTCCATCTGGACTGAAACGCTCCTCGGATCTCATTAAATGGCACATTTCCGCAGACCATTCCCCCAGTGTTGGAATCACCTGGGTGTTCCAATTTCTCGGAATCAATGCCCTAGCAGCATTGACAAATAATCGTAAAAGAGATTTCTTTGCCCGAGAGATGGATCCCGGAAATACCGATAGTATTGCCATCTGAGGCGTGAGTTGGAGATCACTGGCAGACATTCTTGAGTACACGTGTGAGATGGTTCGCCAGAAGGGGACGATCAGAAGGCAACTCCACCAGATATGTGATAACGTTCCCACCCCTGTGAGGCACCTCCAGCAAGTGTCCGGTAGAGAGGGAAAAATCAGATGCATCCTAGCCGGGGCCCTGTACCACCTAGTCAAGAGCTTGTAGTTGCGTTCCTGTACCGCTGAGGACATGCAGAGACTATGAGTGAAGCAGAAGCATTTCCGCCTCTCTTCCTCGGAGAGGACCACGCCCAATTCCTGGTTCCCATGCAGAGATGAAGTACGGGGATTCCCCTTCAAGGCCAGAGGATATAGATACAGTGCCATAATCCTGTCGACAAACGCAGGGGGAAGACCCGAGTGGAGCAATGATGCCTCTAGAAAAGACCAGCTGACTCGGTCAAACGCTTTTTCAGCATCGACCGAGAACAAACAAAAGGGAAGACCGTGGGAACGGGCGTGATGAATCAGGGTAATTGTGCGTTTGGTATTATCTTTGGCACTACGCCTGGGTACGAACCCAACTTGATCTTTGTGAATGAGCCGTGGGATCAGGTCAGTCAAGCGGTGAGCCAGAAGTTTGGCATACAGCTTAACATCCACATTGATCAAGGAGATGGGGCGAAAATTATTGCAGTGCATGGTGTCTTTGCCGGGTTTGGGTAGAACCACTACGTGAGCCTCTAGAGATTGGCCAGTCTTTAAACATTTTAACAACAGCTGCTCTTGAACATTTAAAGAATTCTGGTGTTTGGTGATACTCGCTCCATGGCTCCGAGCGCCAACAATCATCCCACGTTCAAAGGCTGTTAAATTGCGTTGTTTACCCATATCTTCAGAAAAAAGTCACTTCTACTGTCGTGGTAAACAACCTGCTTCCCTATTTATAATGGGCTGGCCCTCTAGCAACTTCAGCGCCAAATTATAGCTAATTTGCCTACAAACGTCAGGTGGTCATAATGATCTCGCCACTCAGTGTATTTGCACATTATGGCACACGTACCTTACCACAGTTCCCTCCTCCAGCATCCAGGTTGTCAGTCACTGCTCTGTCCTCCCCTGCCACAATCTCCTTTGACACTACTTTCAGATTCCCATTTATTGTCTTCAGTCATTGAGTGGCCTTTAACCCCCCGGTACCTGGCTCCATCAGGAATGAGCCAGAGTGTGCCATGCATAGTTCATGCGCTATACAGTTTACACCAGTGGCGTAGCACTAGCCATAGCATCCTTTCTTAATTGGGGTGCCAAATGGCTCCACCAGGGTTGCAGTCAAATTTTCGCACAGCGGCCACGTCGCCATGGTGCAGGCGGGCCGGCCACCAACACATGCTGCTACATCAGGACCGCTCACAGCTTTCAAAAGAGTACAGAACGGGACCTCTGTTCATACCTGCTACACCTCCCTCCATGCTGTTGGAACAATTCGGTGCAGGCTGGACAGCGGGACTCTGATGTTAAGGGGGGACTGAGATATCTGATGTGAAGGGGGACTAAGGACTCTCATGTAAGGGGGGGAATGAGGACTCTGATGTAAAGGGGGACCGAGGTCTCTGATGTGAAGGGGGACTAAGGACTCTCATGTAAGGGGGGGAATGAGGACTCTGATGTAAAGGGGGACCGAGGTCTCTGATGTGAAGGGGGACTAAGGACTCTCATGTAAGGGGGGGAATGAGGACTCTGATATGTGAAGGGGGTCTAAGGATTCTAATGTGAAGGGGGACTGAGGTCCCTGATGAGAAGGGGGGGGGGGCTAAGGATTCTGATGTGAAGGTGGAACTGAGGACTCTGATGTGAAGGGGAAACTGAGGACCCTGACGAGAAGGGGGAATGAGGTCCCTGATGTGCAGGGGGTACTGAGGTCTCAGATGTGAAGGGGAATCCTGATGTTAATGGGAACTCTTTTTTAACATCCAAAAAAAGTATTATATTAATGGTGAAATTCATGGACTCACTAAATAGTGACTGCAAGGAAGGTACTATGAGAGGAAGTGCCGTGCAGGGTTGGCCCTGAGTGATACAAATCGAGGGCTCAATTACTTTGCTTTCTCAGGAAATTACTGATATTTTGGTTCTTTTGCAGTTTATTGCTACTCTTGTTTATGAAGGTTGTAAAGTATGTACTGAGGATGCAAAAAGAGTTATAAAAATAGTCTGATTTTCATTTTAAATAGAAAAAAAAAAACCTTTAAAATCTGGAAGTAAAAAAGATGGAACATTCATTGTTAAAGTATATCTAATGTCCAAACCTTTTCCCCATTTTGGATAGGGAATGGTTAAAACCTCATCAGGTTTTTCTGCCTTCATTATCCTTTTGGAGGGATTTCCCTTCACTTCCTGTCTTGTAGATCAAATAGGAAGTGAGATTAAATCTGTCTACAGTGAATGAAAACCCCTCTTGGATGGCTGTCTCTAGAACAGGAGGAGATTACCTGGTCTTAGTGTTGCAATTTTCCCCTTGTCAAGCCACATATACAAAAATAAAAGCAGCTGTGGAGCCTGTGCAAAATACTACAGGTTGTTCGTCCTTAAAGTGGACGTCTGGTCATATATTTTTTTCATGTATAGCTATGTGTATCTCTCTGACACAGATCACAGTACTCACCTTGACAATCCTTCATGTGATTTTCTCTCAAGAAAGACAGAACCATCTTTGTTCAGGCATCACCCAGGGTCAGCACTTACTTCCTGGGCTGAGATGCTGGCTCAAAGTCATGTAAATCCAGGTACCTGTGCAGTTTTTGCTGTGTTCACAAATGTCTGACACAGATGCTGTAGCCCATCACCTTCTGATTTCCTCCAAGAGTACAGTGTATAGTCTAAGTCCTGATTCACACATCTGAGCATTTTGAAGCTTGAAGCCCTAAATTCCAAAACACTCAACAATCAAAATCTCATGCTTTTAAATTGTGCCTGTTCACCTATGAACATTCAGCTGCCTGTAGCTCCACCAGAGGTGTAACTAGAAACCCCAGGGCCCCGGTGCAAGAAACCATTAAGGGCCCCCCCCCCCAATAAAAACATGGATCCCAGCAATACATTATAATGTGAATAAATATAAAATCAGTTTGTCTTTTGTGTGTTTATTGTCATTTGTGGAAATTATAAAAATTAATAAAAATATATTTTGGAAAAAAATATATAAAATCAGCAGCAGCTTCTTACTCGCACCTGTCGTCCCTCCCCCTCCCTCACGGCTCGACTTTTCAAGCAGAATGGGGCATTTTTGGTCCCATGGACTTCAATGTGAAAAATGCCTGAAAACAAATTTTTTCGAGGCTAAACAACCATCTCCTTCTCCTAGTACCTAGCTTTTTATTGGCTAACACAAAACTGCTCACACCTGAATATGCCTGAAAAACCACACAAATGATAACACTCTAGTTGCTTTTAGACCCCATTCACACTGAACGATTTGTAGCGCGATTTCAGCTCAGAAATCGCTGAAATATCAGCTCAGTGTCGCTCAATGTAGCTCGTCCAATGCATTTCAATGGAGCTGTTCACATCTCACAGCTCAATGTCGCCTGTAGCTTGTCGCTCGAACATGACCTATTTTTCAGCAGATTTTGTGCGATTTGGCCCAATAGACTTCAATGGTGTAGCTCAATGTTGCGCGACATTGTCGACCTATAGAGGTGTCACTTTTGCATAGAAATATAAGAAGGAACATAAGCAGGAAAAAAGAAGAGGAATTATGTCACATCAATACCGCTTTTGATTGGTTACAGCCCAATGTAGCAGCTACAAAGACCCTGCCAAAAGTCTTGCTATGTAGCACGACAAAATGTGCACTGTAGCTCAATGTGCTTTTTTGGATGTAGCACAGTGTGAATAGGGTCTAAATGCTCCATCCATGCTCGGGTGTGAATTAGATCATTGCAAGAGGAGATGCTTTCTTCTGCCTGCAGCAGACTGATTGTCAAAGTTAGCCACCTCTATAATGGCAGAGCTTTTTTTTTTTGTAAAGTGATGCTGTTACTGTGATTGTGATGGGATGTCAGAAATTTATAGTCGCTGATAGATTCAATTTAAAGTGTAAGTTAACTTTCCCAAAGGAATTGGTAAAATTACATTAGCCACTCCAATCTGGCTCCCTTTATACCCCCCCACGAATGCTCTTTCCTCTCCGCCGGTACGTGTGTACTATCCGTACCCCATATTGCCGTGTAGTATAGCCCTGCACTATGGATTTTTAATTTTGCTTGCAAATGGCTTAGATAGTGGATGCATGGATAATACACCTGTACGGGCAGAGGAGAAGGAGCATTCACTGAAAGGTAAGTATAGCTGGAGGTGGGGAGAGGGGGCCAGATTGGAGCGGACAATTCCATTTTCCCAAATTCACTTTCCTTTGGAATATGCAAGTCACCTGGCTGTTGTACTGATCCTCTGGCTTCAATTCTCAGCCACTGAGCTGAAACAAGTATATATATCAGTACAGCCAGTCCTTCTCTGTGTTCTTGGTTCAGGTCAGTGACTCAATGTATGGAAGCTAAAGGATGACAGCCAGGTATCTAGCATTCTCAGAAGGAGAGGTCACTATTGGCTGCCTCCATGTTTCCTTTAATCATAGAGAATGTAATTTATCTGAAGGACTGGGTCTTTTGGAGGGAAAAGAGAGACAGGTGTGAATTCTCTTTGGGGCATGAAATTCATTCATATGACAATCCCCCTCCCCCCCCCTTTTCCCCAAAGAACCTGCACAAAGAGTCCATTGATGCACAACTTTATATAACTTTTTGCAGCGCAATATACAATAAATTACATTTCTTTTCAGATCAAAGTGCACATCTAGGCAAGAAGCAAAGTTAAAAAAATAATGCACATACAAAAATTGAAACACGTCAGACATGACTCAGTAGAGGGCGCAGTGTGAAAAAACACACATACACGAACGCATTATGGGCCGGCCGGTATGTCAGGAGCAGCAGGGCTGGTTGCGGTTCTCTGCTCCTATTGTTTGGCTTTGCAGCAATGAAATGCTCTTGCCCTGCTGGTAATAAAGGAGCCATTTCTGCAAAGCCTCAATAGACCCAGTTTTGTGAATCAATTCTCCTGCCTCTATATGCATCCAAGATGGCACAACTGAGTATAAACAACTACTCTAAGCAGAGAAAAATATTCTCTGCAGAGGACACTTTCATAGCAGGAGTTTAAGTCACAGAGAGTGTCAGATGGCTATGGGCATGAGTCAGGCTACTAGGAACGCTTAAGCAAGATGGAGCGAATCACAAATTTGCATGGACAACTACTCTCAATGAGGAATAATTTTCTCTGTTGAGGACACTTTCTTACTCGTGAGCTCTAATCACAGAGAGGGTCAGATGGCTCTGGGCAGCACTTAGTCTGAATTTACTACAAACAAGTCCTGATTTGACACATTGGGGTTTTATGGTGGGATAAGTTGTGTAGCAGGAACTATAAAGTGAAACAACGGCGGCTCAGGGAACCTGTTGGACATTGCGGGTGCATGAAGATGGAGAGGTCCTGAGTGAATCTTGTGGTTTTAACATTCCTGTTTTAGCAGAACTGAGTGATAGCTGTACATCCAGCCACGTAGATTAAGCTGCCATTCTACAGTCCATAGTTATTAAAGGGCAAACTCTACCCAAAACAGCTTCTTCTGTATTAGATAGAGTGGAGTGGGCTCCATATCTAGTTGGATGTTTCCTGATGTTCAAGTGCCCAGAGGAGGGGGCTTCCTCCACCCTGACAAGGGATATGGCCCAGACCAGGCCAACTGAGAGGTGAGATTCCTTGAAATCACTGACTATGATTTCCCAGAACATTCAGTACAAGTAGCTGAACTCTTGGCCTGGCTCATTATGTGTCACGCCCCACCTTGGGGTAGCTGCAAATCCTCCTCAGCTACCCCAGGGAAAGCCATACAAGAGACACAACTTTGGCCCACTTCATCAAATACAGAGAATACTGTTTTCAGGGGAGTTACTGTTTAAAGGACTGAGAAAGCATCATGAACGTGGAGCTATTGTGACTACAAGAAGGCAGCATGGTACACATGGCAACCACAGGCCAAATTTATTTTTCAGTTGGCTGAGAGACTGATGCAATGTGTAACGTGGACAGATTTTTTATTTTTTTGCACAGGTTTGAAAATGTAAAACAAAATCTAGTTGTCCTGGGCAATGCAGGCACTTTTTGCAGACACTGTCAAGGCCTAGTGAGACTCAACAGGGGTTACATTCTGATTCAGATGTCGCCATAGCAACCAAGCAGAAGTTGGCTACCTTTAGCATGGCTAACACTCTTTGAACGGATTGCTTTTTGGCATTTGGCCAGAGCAGCCAATTACAGCACCACCGTACTTTTTCTGCTATAGGTTGGAGGTTTACTACTGGCTTCCAATGCCTTCTGTCTGCCCTCTTGCCTTTCTAATAATTTTAATTCGTGAAGCTCTAATGCCATAGCCTTTCTCTTCAGTTTTAACTTTTGTATCAAATTCTTAGAGTTTCCCTTGCCTGTGAGATTGTATAATAAGGCACAGCAAAAGGCAATCACTGCATGCAAAGTGCAGGGACTCATGACAACTAATACACATTTTTTCTCTTCAATTAATATGACTACAGACAATTATACAATTATGGTTGCCATGGGTTACTACCTTTTCCAAATAATTAATGCTCTTGTTTTAAAAAGGCAGTCATGCTCACATGCTCGCTCTGATCTTCTAATTCACACGAACAGGAGGTCTACCTGGAAGGCTACTGGAAACATGGCTGTTTGTCTGAAACCATCCTGCTCTTTATTGGTGACGTAAATGGCATGTTTGCAGCAAAATCGGGCACTCTCAGACAGCTTTCCCAAATGATTCACTGGATAAAAACAGGGGCAGTAGGTTACTTTGCTCTGTTTGTGATGGGAAGCTGGTTAAAATGTGCCTAGTTTGAGGGCCAGAAGGGTCAAAAAAGGGTGTTCTTTACCTGTCTTTTTCTGACAATCTGCCATGGGCCCACAATTAGTTAAACATTGTTGCTGGAGTTCCCAAAGCTTGCCTGAGAGGGTCTGCAGCTGTACCCCAGCCCCCTGTAATTTAAATGAAACTGTCAGCCATTTTATTATTTGAAAGGTAGAGATCCTGTCTAAGAACCTGCTATTACTTTAGCCAAAAAAGCCTCCTCTGTGCCCATCAATAATGTAGCTGAACTTTGCTATTGGGGGTCTGACTTCAGTGGTGGAGTCTCAATGGCCAATAAGGAGGTCTGATCCTAAGCAGAACTTTTACTTTTAAGTTTACATTAAGGTTTAAGGTTGGTCACATACAGGTGTTTTGGTAGACTTTGGTAATGAATGGCAAAGTGCCAGCATGTCAATACCTGGTAGGGCACATTGTGGCAGTTAGTTCCTCAACTGTTGGCTGTAGTTAGTCTATCTTGGATCTAAAATGGTAGAATTGAAAATGGGTGTGTGTGGGACAAACAAAATACTGCATGATTGTGTATTACAGATATATATGTACAGAGAAAGGTGTGAGCATGGTGCTGAGGACTGTACGTGGGATTTTATGTAGAATTATTCAGGAAAATATTTTAGCAGCTGCTCAGTGACCCTTTGATCTGTGAAATGCTGGGCTCCCCTCTGGTGTTCGAGTTCCCCCTCTGGTCTTTTCCTGTGCACTACCCCATTGGCAGCATAGTCAGGGTTGTCAGTATCTAGACGTTTTACACGTAGGAGATTTTCTGGGGCATCCTCGCTGCGGTCGTCTTCCAGAGAACGCCGCATGCGTCGCGGTGCCTTCGAGGACAAACGTTGAGGCATTTCTGCTTCGCTCATTGCTGACAGGACGCGCGTCACCAGGTACCTGTATTGTAAAAGAAGATATATTTTATAATTTTCACATTAAGGACATATTTATCATGAAAACTCATAAAATGTATTAAGCAAAAGAGCTTTTATATGATGCATAGGATGTGAGGTGAAAGATCAGCTTTTTTGATGACCAAACTGTTTAATTTTGGAGATTGTCAATGTATGACAGAGACTAAACTTGGTGCCTGGCATTGTTTTTTACATAAAATTTACTTACATAGAGCATGCAGGTCCCTCCAGCTTACCTTAACATCTCTTCATCCATGGGATAGCCATCATCATTGGCTTCTTCTGGTGCCAGCCGTAAAGCAGGGCCTTCAAATGCCCGGTTTTGTCGGTAGTAGCTCTGCAGAGCTTGTGCCATTTGGTTGCGGGAGGCCTGTGGCCGTGTCCGGCTGGTCACCACCTCGGTCTCATCATAATCTTGGTAAGGTCTCTGGTAGTCTCCCTCAGGCTGAGCAGGGCCAGCATATGCCTGCAGCTGGTCAGTGTAGACCTTACCCTGGTTAATCTGATTCCACAGATGCAGAAGATTAGCCAGATAGATGGTCTCCTTGTCTCTCCTCTGACCTTCCTCTACCAGCTGTTGTAGAGATGGACCGTTCCGAGCCGAGTCCAGTCTGCGGGGGGAGCCCATTCTTTCCAAGGCCTGAGCAAGGAGTTCTTCTTGAGGGTAGGCGGCAAATCTGGCGAGCATGGCTTGGTTTAGGTCAGCGTATAATGGTTCATTTCGAAGAGCTTCTGGTTGAACATAGGACATCATATCAGCTTCATAAGGGATATTAGCTGGGAGGCTTCTTCTGACCCTTAGGGGAGCTCCAAGGTCATCGTGAGCCAGTAGGCCCAGGGGCTGGAAATGGAAGACAAAGGTTTAATCAATAATACCTTTTATTCTGTTTTCTGGTTATCTAAAGAGGAAACCCTAACAATGAACTTATTTGCTCTCTATTGGTTTATTAACTATATAATTTAAAGCATATTGTTATAACTGTTGGATAAATGCCTCAAAATACCTCTTGATCCTGGGGACGCAGCATTATCTCAAGCAGTCATATCAGACATGCACAAGTTAACTTAGTTGCCTACAATCCCCCTCAATATTAAGAAGATGAGGAGATGTGTTTATTTTCTGTACCACTTACACACTTCGTGTCCTTAGGTGACAATGCTGATCCTCCTTAACTTAGTGTTTTCACCCTAGGACAGGAAGAGTGTTACTAGAAGGACAACTTCAGTTGAAAATAAAGGCAAAATACCTGAAACACAAAATTAAATGCAGCCCCTATATCTAAGGACTGGTAAGCTGCAATATATTTACTGCCTTTTCAGTTGAACATGTATTATGTAATTTGTAGCCCTGCAGAGAATGTATTGGACTAGCTGATTTGTATATTCTTACATAAATTACAGCATTACACAGCAAATAATGGTTATGTTTTACAGGATGAGCATCACTTCTCCATCCTAGGTTATATTTATGCAAATGCAACACCATTAACAACTAAGCTTAAAGAGAACCAGTCTCAACTGGGCTCATGTAAATATTCTTTCTTAACTTATAATCGTGCAATCTTATCTAGGAAAGGTTTACACCGGCTCCTTATTTTATTTTTCATTAGTTTGCCTGTGTCTTAAGACGGCCAAGGTATGCCACTTAACAGCATTTTTGTGGTTCTGCTATATGCTGACGAATGGAAAGATAGGTAGATAGAGAGACAGGCAGACAAATTCAGGTGTTTCCACCTTTCAAACTATAGCATAGTTATTTACTTGAACCTCGGTGGCACCATGTAATTCTGTGTCCACCTATATATCCTGTGACACTCTTCTGCTTTCTATGGATCTATATATCTCCTAGGGATGCCATATTAATACCATCCCTCTATACACACCCAGCATCCTTTAGGCCCCTGTTTGCTGCAGATTCCCTAGTGACTGTTGTATCTCCCAGTGTCCTCCAATTATCTGCAGGCAGACACTAATCAGTGGTTTATCAGCATCTATGACTAATACCCCAAGCATCTGCAGAAGAAGAAAATGTCATTACAGATAATGAGGCATTGTATGAGATCCCTGGACAGTAAAGGCTCCGTACACACAGCAGGATGTGGAGGGTTGTGTACCGTGTAGGTGATAAAACATATAATATGATGGGAGGCTGAGATGGAGTCTGTAACGGAGGTCCATGGATGTTCTGACACAATAATAATTAAAAATCACAAATCATAATATAATGATAAGGGGGTATTGCATAGATCAATATAGAAAAAAGTAGGATTGGCCTAAGATCCTTAGATGATGCCCTGTCTTGATAGGCTGGGCAGTTTGGGCATGTGCCTTGGGTCTAGTGACACCTCTCTAACACAGCATGCCACTTTTACTGTCATACTCTGATGTATGCCTGCAGTAACAGGTGAAGTGCTGCCTCATTGTTTCCTCCAGAGGTGGGAGGCATTGGTGTGGGATCCTTACAGATTGTTCTAGGTAGTAAACACTGCTGAAGCTCCCACTGACCACTATTACAAAGAAACACTGATCATTGAACACCAATGTAAAGTGGGCACTGACCACTGAACACTAAAGTATGAGTAAGCACTGACCATTGAACACCAATGTATATGTGGGCACTGATTAAGGAAAACCAATCAGTATTGGGTAATTGACCACTGCACACCAATTTATAAGGGGGCACTGTCCAATAAATGACAATGTATGAGAGGGCATTGATCACCAATGTCAAGGTGGTACAGACCATTGAGCACCAATGTTTAAGGGGCACTGATTACTGAACATGAATGTATAAGGGAACACTGACCACAAAGCACCAATTTATAATGGGCCACTAACCACTGAATACTAATCAATAAATGGACAATAACCAATAAACACCAACATACAATGGAGCAGTGACCATTGAGCACCAATGTATATGTGGGCACTGATTAATGAATACCAGTCAATAAGGGGTAATTGCACACCAAGAGGGCACTGAGCAATGAACAACAATGTATAAGGGGCATTGGTCACTAATGTCAAGGTGGTACAGACCATCAAACACCAATTTATAATGGGCCACTGACCACTGAATACTAATGAATAAATGGAAACTAACCAGTAAACACCAACATACAATGGAGCACTGACCATTGAGCACCAATGTATAAGGGGACACTGACCACCAGTGTCTTGGGGGTACATACTACTAAAACCCATTATATACGGGGGCACTGATCAGTGAACAAAAATGTCAAAGGGGGCAACATTAATCATCAACAGTTAAGGGGCAATAACTACTATTTAAGGGGGTACTCACCACTGAACATTAAAATAAAGAGGCGCTTACTTCTTGCAGCTGGACTCTATAAGTACTGTCCACTATCAAACTGTACTATACACTGTGTTGTACATTTTATAGTCCTGACCCCTGAATAAGCTATGTTGTACTTAACATAGTCCTGACTGCTGCACCTTATATGCTAAAATGTGGATTATATAGTACTGACCGTTGCACTCCATACGCTATTGGTTATGTTACATAGCCCTGACCTCTAACTTCTGCACCTTATACACTATATTGCCCATTCCACAGGCCTCACTGCCATATGATACATATTCCTAATTGCTGCATCCCATAAACTATGTTGTACATTAACTATTCCTGACCAAAGTGTTTATTGTATCCACAAGTAGCTGTTAGTTGTGTAGTCCACAACTGTTTTGATGAGGGCTTAACGTGTTCGCTCTACGTCATATATTCTGTGTGCAGAAAAGCATATGTAAAGAAAGAGTTTAGTTTTTATAATTAGCCTTTTTTGTGAGGTTAATGTGTGTCTGTGAGACTGTCATGTATAACATAGTATTTAATAGATATTTTGTGGGTACAAAGACTGTGGCATATGTGTGCAGTGTATATATCAAGTAGGCACAGGTTTTATTTAAACATTCCCCTTTAAGGCACTCCCCGGTTAGGCGCAATCTTGCCACGCCTACCAATAGTTGTGGCACGCACTCTGCACAATTTATCCCCTCAGCGTGCCCCAGGGTACCCCATGTCTTTCACAATCCTAGCAACAAGAGATGTACAAGATGGAGGAGGATGGATGTAGATAGAAAAAACAGACAGACAGAGATTGTTGTTGAATGGAGCAGAGAAACTGAAGGGTGGGAAACTGGGGAGATAGAGACAACTTGGCACAGAGTGATAGATCGATAGATAGATAGATAGATAGATAGATAGATAGATAGATAGATAGATAGATAGATAGATAGATAAAACATGAGATGGAAAAAGAGGGAAGGAAGATAAGGGGAGGTGGTAATGAAGTTAAAAGAAAATGAGAATATAAGCCAAGAAGAAGAAGCATAGAGTTAAAAGGAGAGGGGACTAGAGAAAATAAGAGAAGGTGGTGGGGTTCATAGAAAGTGGGGTGAAGAACCAAGGAGATGGTGGTGGTATAAATATAAAATGGGAAGAAGAGCCAAGATGAATATAGTTCAAAGGAGGGAGGCGAGATGAGATAAGGAGAGGTGGTAGTGAGGTTAATAAAAATGGGGATATAAGCCAAGAAAAAGAATAGGGTTAAAAGGAGAGGTGACTAGAGAAGATAAGGGGGGTGGTGAGATTCATAGAAAGTAGGTTGAAGAACCAAGAAGAAGAATAGCGTTAAAAAGGGGAGGGGGGGAGGGTTAATAGAAGAAAAATAGAGATAAAAAGAGAAAAAGGGGAATAAGGAAGCTGGGGAAGGGAAAGAGAGAGGAAAAGAAAAAGAGGGTCAGAGAAGGAGAAATGGAAAGGAGGGGAAAAGAAGAGAATGAGAAAGAAAGGGCAAAGGCAACTAAGAGGGAGAGAGAGAAAGAGGGAGATAGATGAGAGGAGAAGAGAAAAAAAGAGAAAGATGATAGGAATGGGGGAGAGAAAAAGAGAGAAAGGTAGAAGAGGGAGAGAAATTATGTGAACAGAGACAGAATTTGGGATGAAATTGGAAAGATAATGGGAGAGGAAGAAGAGAAATGGAAAAAATTAGAGACGAGAGAGAAAGATAGGGGGAGAAGAGAGAGGCGACATAGCAATGGAAATAAACCTATGTGATGAGGACTACAGCTAGAAAGAGATTCCCTGGAAATTCAGCGACTAACCTTGCCAAGGATGCTGGGGACAGACAGACAGACAGTGACAGCCACCAACACGACACAGGGGCCCATCCTGATACGAAGACGCTGCCCTGATTCGAGAAGCTGCGACTGCTGGATGAAGAGACTGAGGACTGCTGGAGAAAAGGGGGGGGGGGAGGGAGATGGAGCACCTCCCCCCCCCGCTGCATTGTCACAGCAGCCTGGAAGAGTCAGAGCCTGGGTACCACTGATGCTACCTGTCACTTCATTGGAACACACTGATACAAAGACATGCTGACCTTCCACCCCCTCCTCATATAGAGAAATCAACACTTCACCCAGGGGATGGTGTGCAGACAGAAGGGACTGAATGGAGGCAGTATATGTCACAATTAGCATTTTCATGTTATGGTATGAAGAGCTAGTGGCCATGTTTGCAGAGCCTGCAGAACCGTTTAGATTCAGTGCTGGGCCATTTATTTAGAGGAGACACACTGATGTGGGCACTAGGGGTGACTGATGCCCTCAAAAAAGTGCCATGAAAGGGGGGGATGGGAAATTAATGAAGCAGTGGAAGGTCAAATAAAAGTAAGCTGAAAAAGAAGTGTATGGTAAGCTTAATTAATGGGGGACCCATCTTCGCTGTGGGTGTCCTCCATGTGGTGAAGTCCAATGGTTGCGACTGGGTAATAGGGACCAATGTCTGCGGTCAATTAATAACGTCCCTGAGGCGGTGTATGACGTTTGGGCAGCAGGTACAAAATGTGGCCGCAGATGCAAATTTCTTTATGGTTCATAGTGCCTTCAAGGACCTGAAACTTGAGACTTTTATACGGTCTGGTTATTTGTTGAGGTTGGGTTTTTTTTAAAGGTTTTGTTAATAAAAAGCCATTGTGGCCATTAAACTCCATCCCATTGTGTATCAGTATTATTTAGTACAGGGAAGGATTTGGGGGAGTTTACATGATAAAGAGGTAAAGTGGAGAAAGTGGACCTCTGAGCTACCTTAGTCATAAGAAGTATTTAATGCAAAGTTAATATCTGCTTTGGTGTTGTTTTCTTTTCATCACATGCTCAGTTTAAATTGCCAGGGTTGTGATGGGTTAACTTAAAGGAGAACTATGAGGTGAGTGCTTTTCACTCACCTCATAGTTCTAGCCGACCTGTGACAATGAGACTTTCACAGGTCAGCTCAGTAGATCAGGAAGTGAGCGAACACATACCGGCGTTCGCTCACTTCTTGATCCTGTCACAGCTCTCTGCCGTGACAGGGGAGTGGCTGGATTCCCCCCTCCCCGCTCCGATCCTCCAGCGTTGACTGGCGAAACGGACGGGGGAGGGGGCGGGTACAGCTTGCTCTGCCTCTAGATAGGCAGAGCCAGTTGTCACTCACGCAGCTGGGCGGATCCAGACATAATTGTCGGGATCCGCTTCAGCTGCGGCGTCTCAGTATACTGCAAGCTTTAGCTCACGGTATACTGAGCTTAGGGTGACGGGAGGACTAGGGCCGGATTTACTCTCCCTGCCGCCCCAAGGCCAGGTTCTGTGATGCGCCCCCCCGCCAACCCTATGTAGAGAGGGCAACTTCCCCACAAGGACACCGCTGCCCCCCCGAGGCTGAGCCTCGGTGGCCTTGTGGGGAATCCAGGCCTGGGGAGGACGCTAGTTTGTGTCCTCCCGTTACCCTAAGGAGAACTATGGGGAAAAGCCCGAACCCCATAGTTCCCCTTTAAACAAAAAGTTCTTGTGACTTAAAAAGTATTATAAAAACAATTTAAAAGTTTTATAAACAAAACTAAAAATGTAGACAGAATGATCCCTTTTCTTTAACAGCCATCTTATGCACTCATGCATAACAATAAAATGTCATAGATGCCAAAACACTGTTGACATAAATAGAAGGAAGGAAAAGAGGGATGGAAGAAGAGAGAAGGAAGGAAGGGGAGAAAGAAGAACAGAGAAGGAGAGATGGAAATACTTTTGAGGATGGAGGAATTTATATATGTTGTGGCATTGCGTGGCAAGACCACGGTGTTATGTGGCCTCAAAGTGACCCAGGATTTTCAGCCAGAGGGGCTGAGTGGCTCCAGGAAGCAATTGCTTGTATCAGGAAAGAGCTGGCTTTTTAGTCCTTTGCATGTTTTCTGGCTCATAGTTGGGATCCTGGAGCTGGGAGATTTCTAAAGGTGCCCATACACCTGCCGATTATCATACGATAATCGCGGGTGATCCCGCGATCGTACGATAATCGGCAGGTGTATGGGCAGCGTGCGACCGCATCTACTGTACGGTCTCACGACTTTCGTCTTCCTAGCACGCTGGAAAACCTGCCAAAAATTGGACGATTTTCGATGGGTTGGTAGCGTGCTCGCAAGACGAAAGCCGCAGGGGCCGGTGTGCCCGCTCAGCATTGCAATCATTGGCTCCCCTCAGCGGGGAGGGCTTGCGATGATCACATGTACGATCTGCCTGTCCATGATGGGCAGGTCCTACGAACTTTTAATGACCTTAGAACCATCGCACAACGAAAGTCCTGCAATGGTTGTAAGGTGTATTGCCAGCTTTAGAGATCTGGGTGGTGAAATCTCCATTCCTGGGATCATGCTTTAGTAGCGACCAGCACCTAATTGTCCACCTGTGTACAACCCTCATGAAGAGGGTGCTGGGATGTGTTGAGGGCCCCACCTGGGAGACAGTAGAACTCCACCCAGGAGTCAGAGTGAAGGCCGGTGCAGCAGGGAGCTGCAGGCTTGTGAAGCCTATTGTGCAGGTTAGCACAGTATTTAGGTTGTCTGGAGGAACCAGATAGGGGCCCTGAGGATTGAGGCCGGAGCAGCAGTGCTGCAACAGAAAACTGTTAAAGGACTTGGACACTGAGTGTGTGGGACAACTCAAGGATTGGTGAGCCAATAGACATCATTTGCTGAAGACAAGCTACTTTATGTTGGACTTCCTTTATTGTCTGGCTTTGAAAGAATAATAAAGACTTTTGGTTAATGGAAAAACCCTGTGCGAGTGCTCTGTGAGCTCCCCAACATTACAATGTGTATTTCAGAAAAACGAACTAAAATAGTAACTGCACACATTGTAGAGCAATGTATATGTTCTTCAATTGATTGCCATAAATCTGCGGTACCAGGTAAGTCAGTGACTGCACAAGAGCTTGCATTTATATCAATCTTGACTAAGGTTTTTGTAGAACAGGACAAAGTCTGATAACGCATGTAGATTGAGGAACAAGTTATAAACTTCAGAAATTAGACTCTGAAACAAGAAGCAGTATCTTAAACTCCCCCCGACAGGAAAAGAGATATCAGGGGAGGAAACCAGGAGACAAAACTGGGAAGTCTCTACTAAATATCCATCAATGGTAGTAAATATCTATTTAATGTGCACTAACGCCCTCCGAGCACATGATGTGTATATATACAATATACATAATACATAAAAAAGATGTCACTCAACAAGATGCCAATGTGATGCCAATATGAACACATTAGAATTTTGTTGTGCGGCATGTGGCTTTGACATCTATCTCCTTTTGGTACACATATGTGGATCATATTGTACATATAACACAGTGCCTGGATTGGTTAAAAAGAGATTTTATGTACTATTTGTGGAATATATAAGCACTATATAGGAAATAAACAAGATGAGATAAGGAGAGGTGGTAGTGAGGTTAATAAAAATAGGGATATAAGCCAAGAAAAAGAATAGGGTTAAAGGGTTAAAAGGAGAGGTGACTAGAGCAGATAAGGGGGAGGGGGAGAGAGAAAGAGGGAGATAGATGAGAGGAGAAAGAGAATGGCAGAATGGAAATAAACATTTGTTTACATTATATATTAATTTGGTCATTGTGAAATACTGTAAATATATATATATAATGTAAGAAAAACAAAACAAAAACGGAGTATTGCAGTGATACCTTTCTTATTGGACTAACAAAATATATATATTACCCATTTACATTACACTATATACTGTATATATACATAAACAGTATATATATAGTGATATATGCAAGGGCGTGCAGTAGCTGAGGAGGTTTTAGTTGTTTTCCAAAGGTTATTTTGGATGTCAGTAATGTAAAATAAAGGTGATATTATTTTTATTATAAACAAATGGTTTATTGAATCTGGCACTGATACCCTGCATAGCACAGAGATGCAGGTATTATGAAAACTACAAAAAGAATACAATGGTGCAGTCAGGTAACAATTTCCCCAAGCATAGGCAAGCAATCCAAGTAGCGGTAATGTGAATTTAACCCTTTGTGTGCCAGTTTCCATGTGACAGAGAGGTGTGTTATGCCACTGGAGACCACACAAGTAAACAGGAGCAGTGATCGCCATGGGAGATTGGTGCACTGCCACAAGGAAGGAAGTGCTTGTCACACAGGTTATGGATGACATACAATATAACACTTGGCTTCATATGAGGAAGGCAGCAAGTCCACAGGATGGAAGTTAGCTTTTGCTGTCCAGCTGGAAAACTCTGCCTTCAATAAAACACTATTTAAACGTGCTAATGTAATGTTGGCTGGTTTAATATCTTAATGGCCGTGCACTTTCCTGTTATGATGTTGGTTGTCAAAGCAACCTTTCTGAAACCACCATCTCTGAGAATCCGTCTCTGTTCTTCTTACAAAGGTTCTGTTCTTTCTCATCAGCCTTCTATTGTGCAGCATCTTTTATCATCTCATAGATCACAGAATCAATCATTTCTTCAAAGGACTGTTCCCTTTATTTTTGGAGACATTTTTATTCTATCTGATCGCCTCTTTTACTGTGTTACCCCCTAAAAAATAAAGCTTCACAGTTAGCCCAGTGCAGCGCTGGGACATGATCCTCTGGCACCCAAGGCAAGGATGTCAATGTATCTCTCCTTCCCTTCTCTGTTCTACCATCTCTCCTTCCTTCCTTCCTTCCTTCTCTGTTCTTCCAGCTCTCTGTCCTTCCTTCTCTGTTCTTCCAGCTCTCCGTTCTTCCAGCTCTCCGTTATTCCTTCTCTGTTCTTCTAGCTCTCCTTTCTTCCTTCTCTGTTCTTCCATCTCTCCTTTCTTCCTTCTCTGTTCTTCCATCTCTCCTTTCTTCCTTCTCTGTTCTTCCATCTCTCCTTCCTTCCTTCTCTGTTCTTCCATCTCTCCTTCCTTCCTTCCTTCTCTGTTCTTTCAGCTCTTCGTCCTTCCTTTCCTGTTCTTCCAGC